TACCAACATAATGTTCGGCGTTTGAGTATTAACTGGCCGGCTTATTCTCTGCTAATGTTTGTTGTTGATTGCGTAAAAGGGTTAGATATATATTTTTAATTTATTTCCACTGGGTATGGCCGGTGCGGGACATGTGCGAGCGCGGATCCGCCGATAATCGCCAATCGACGTTATCGCGTCCGTCGCGCTGTCCGCCGGCGCCGCTCCATCTCGACCACGCTCATTCCAACCCTGGGACGCGACACAGCCGCCCGTCTGCACCTCATCCTTATGGTATATCCGCATATACTACCATCACTGATTAACTTCAATTAAATACATTAAAATAAATATCCTGCACGACAGAGAACTAAAAATCGTAAGTTTTTGCAAATCTGTAATTATTTCCATTCATCAATTTAATTTTTTTTGTTAAAAATTCAAATTAATTTGTGTTACCATTTTTACTTTCAGGTGCACAATGTTTTGTGACGGTTCCAGTCCGCTTCTTGAAGAAGCTCTCCTCAACGACCAACTACTTTTTGAATACTCGCCGGCGGAAAGCCTTATAAACTTTGAGCTTCCGTCATTGGATTCAGATGGCGACTGGCAACTTAGTGACTTGGATCTCAATTGTGATAGTTTTGTTAATAGTGTTAGTGACTTAAACAAGGACGCTTCTAACAGTTGTAACATCCTCGATGGATCAGTTTTCGATTTTGCTGAACTAGATAAGAGCATTATTGACGAATATCTCCTGGAAGCGTTGAGCAGTGATCTCTCCAATGACTCACCACATTCTCCACAATCAGGAACCGACTCTTCATTAAGCAACGAATCCCTTTGTGCTCTGGAAACCCACGACTATGTCACAGTAAATAAAAATTGGCCGAGCAATACGCGAGTGTATGAGAAGACCGATGTGAAAGTTCGTTCCTTCGGAGAACCAAAGTTTTGTCAAGAGCTGGGTGCGTTTCGTTGTCCTGTTGAAGATTGTGGCAAATTGTACGCAAAGGCGTCTCATGTTCGTGCTCACCTCCGGCGACACAGTGGTGAGAAGCCGTACCGGTGTACGTGGGGAGGTTGTTCGTGGAGGTTCGCGCGCTCGGACGAGCTGGCGCGACACCGGCGCAGTCACTCGGGAGATAAGCCGTACAGGTGCGGAGAATGCGGCAAACGGTTCGCTCGCTCCGACCACCTCGCCAAGCACGGACGGGTGCACGCTCGGCGCGCCGCCGCCGCCGCCGCTGCTGCTGCCAGCAGGAGGGCTGCCTCAGCACCACTCGGACATCGAAGATCAACGAGGGGAATGTTGCTACTATGATTAGGCACAAGATATTTGTGATGACTTGATAGATAGGATGGATGTCCCATACAATTTCGGTTAGTACTTAAAACCGTTAGATTACGGAGGTGCTTACCGAATTCCGTCATCACTTAGAAGACTGAATTTGTTCTTATATGTGGAGAACATTGACGATGCTGGTTGACATAGTAGTTAGGGTAGCTTGGCCTAGGAAAGGCTGATTAGGTCACTTTTAATGAAATCTAAGTGTAAGCTCAGATTAGAAACCTAAGTACTTAATTAAAGCCCAAAATTATGTAAACTCTTAACGTACTATAGTATTTTAATACTAGATATTTAAATACCAGAATCTATACCAAATATTGACTGTGAACCTTTGAATGAAATGTTTGTAAATATTATTTTAAGTAAGTATATGAAGCAATATTACTTAATTGTACCAAATAAATAAATCTAATTTCGTTAAGTTATGTAAATATTAGTGTTAAGAATGTTATGCTTGTTTAAGTTTCAAATCTCAATCAATAATACAATATTAAAAAAATAAGTAATAAAAATTTAAATTTATTGAAATTGACATCAGTTTTTGTATTGTATGTTACCTATGGGTCATCTGTTCGCTTGCCCTCTACTTCATAATACAGGTCCTGTCAGAACCCGCCTGCCGAGTGTGGGGTTTATCGCTAACCCCTCTAATCTAGAGAAGGCTCTTAGTACAGCAGTACCTAAACTGTGTGACGAGCCCTTGGTGTCTTTGTAGTTAATTAGCCTTTTTTGTTGGACCAAGCCCACCACAATCTCCCAAAACCGCAACTTCTGTAAGCCAGGATCAGACAGTAGATACAACTATAAAAACAGAGGAACTGGAGTCTGGCGCGTCCCAGGAACATGAATAACTGTCTTGGATCCCCTGACAAAATAAATCAGAAATAGGACAAGTAAAGAACATCAGTTTTCACTTCTCTCGGTGAATTTATACAGGCACGAACGAGACAGCACGACTGGCTAAAGCCCCCAGAATTGTATTAGCCTATTAAGTAAGTAAACGAATCTAAAGTTCAACAGTTGAACTTCAAAAATGCTGTCAAGTTCAATGTTTCGTCTCTTATCACTGCTCCGGCAGTAGGCCGTGCATATTTTATATGCTACGGTACTGTAGTTACTTTTACAATTACAAATTACAATTGTATGTGTGTCGATAACTACAACAGGTTCAAATATTTATTGTGTTAACTTGGCTCCTAATCTTGATGGACGTTTGGTCAAATGTGAGACTGTTGGAGGTTCGGTCCCATGTTCGAAGATCAAGGTGTTTTTCTAAGTATATTCCACCACTATTTACAATGGGTACATTATGACGTCAAGCTTTACAATCCTCCAAGAGGTAGGCAGAAGGGTACGTTACATGTAACTTCTAACAATGTAACAGTATGTTACACCAGTTATGAGTCCCAAGGGGTGACATTGACGTTTTATGTTAGGGGTATATATCAGGGACAATTTCAAAATCACCATATTTCAAAAAATCCCTTGGTCTCAACTACTCTCGAGTCCAATGCTGACAACCCAAGAATTTAAGAACTATTGCATAGTTTACCTAAGCTTTACACTATATAAGATAGGTTGGCTTATTGTACTCTATTGACCATCCCTACCTACCTAATAAGTATTAAAATTAAAGCAATATAGTAAATATGAAATTATATTGTAACCATGTCCTGATAATACCTAATATCTGCTAAGGGCTTGTCCTAAAAATAATCTAGATATACAAAACTTACTACGACCATCCGGTCGTAGTAGGCATGTTCACAGAAAAATATCCGAGAAAATCATGACTAATGGTTGACAAAACAACTGTAAAATGAAATTTAGGTACTGTAACCCACGACTAGCTAAATTAAAATTGTTAAGTAAATAAATACATACAAATTGGAAACATTATGATCTTTTTTTCAATTACGGTTGTGTATTACTCGCAAAAGGAGAACCTTCGATTGTTTCTTGGTTTAAATAGACGGTAGTGTCGGTTCGAAAATATCACAGGCGAAAACTCAAGCCCATTTCGTAAAAAGACATTTGTGGAATGCTAATCATCAAGCTATTTAAACTCTTATATGAGACGTAATAAAAAACACTGTGTCTCACGTCTATTTATTAATTTAAAACTTTATAACACATATACTGTGAAATTGGCGGACTTAATCCTGCGGCGTAAGCATTCTCTGACAGTCTACCATTGGGCGATGCAAAATGTTAAAGCGGTATATCTGCGTTATCCTACCATGGGTTAAAGGTAGGTATGATGGTGGAGATAGAACTGCTGTCACGACTATTACTTCAGACTTGAAGATGCTTTACCCATATTATTATGATCGTGGTAGTTATTCTTTGCCAACAATCCATTCGTTATTGCAAGATGCGGGCAACATAATATTCTTAACTCTTTGTACAGCAGCATTGTTGAGTCAGCAACACCAACCGTACAGTAAGAAATGCAAGTAAATTAATTAGTTAGGTGCATAGTCTATAATGTACAGGTGCAGTGAACTCCAATAATACATTACTAGATACGCTTTTAATATTGATATCGAACTATGTTATTGTTATCCACATGCATAGCCGCATTGGATACTATTATCGCCGCTAACGAAGTACAAAGTTGTAACGAACGTGCTAAAGATAAAAACATTACTTAATATTACTGTTTTCTTGCAAATTATGACTTTAGATCGAAGCTTGTACTTGTGTAGTTAAATGTAAACTTTACTTATAGGCTAAAACTATGTGTAAAATGAGTTTTGACTCTATTTTCAGTAAAAAAGATAAGCATAGTTTTTTGTGAGGTCTATATATAAATAGGAAGGTACTTACTTTCTTAACCTTTTGGTTAAAGATTTGGGTTTTTTTAAGGGGGGAAAATCATCGAATGACTTCTCCCGCCTGGGTGAGGCGGGAGGGAGTGTCAGACTCTTACTGACTAAAAACACACCGTTCCTTCGCCTGCACGTCGAGCCGGAGCCCCGGTAACCCGTTAGGTTCTCCGCGACAAAGATTTGGGATAGCGACACAAAAAATTGGCAAACGACAAACCTAAGCCTAATACTAACTAGTTAAGTACATTATTTTTATTCAATGTAAATTTATGAAAAATTGTATAATAATATGTAAGTATGTTATCAGTATGGCGTAAGGAATGTTACAATAGATAGTTTGTAGGACGAGAAATAAACAACAAAAATAAAACCTAGATGAATTATTTGTAGTTATTTTATACTAAGAAACATTTTCAGTTGAAAACTAATGAATGTATTTTTGATTTGATTTATTTATTTTACACTGGCGATTGCGCACTCCGAGTATAAAATTGTGTAAACACTGATTATTAAATGGCAACACTTCACTAATATTTCATTCATCTGAATGTGGACAAAGTTATAATCAAGAATTTTTGCAATAAATTATTTGATTTATTTTGTTTGGGACTCAAGATAGAAATTAAAATTAAAAAATAAATGTTTGTGAAATATTTAGCAAAAGTAGGCCGTTTGAGTAAAACCTTGGCATAGTACAACATCACGAATTAAAAAAAATAAATCAAATTTTTGTCTATTCTTGACAGTGATTGTCTATGATATTATACAACCGAATTGAGAAGTTCACATTTTGGTAGATTTTATTAACTTTTGAATATATTTTAAATCGTCTATTTTTCCATTGATACACGATTCAAGTCGGACACAAATAAAAATGGTGGTTCAATAGATTAGATTTCTCTGATCAAACTGTTTATTGAAATAACAAACGAACTTAATCAAAAGTGTACGAGAAATAGAAAACTTTTTTATATTTTTTGCCAATATTAATATTTATCTGGTGCGATTACGTGGTGCGTTGGGAAGAGTTGTGTTTGACAAATAACAGGTTGTCGGAGACACCGATTTCGCTATAGTTTTGTATCTAAAGTGTTGTTTTTTTAACTGCAATACGCTTGTAAGGTGTACCAATTTTTAAATCATTTACTAAGTGTTTATTTAAGCAATGTAAACTTGAGTTGAATGGAAATAAAGTTCACTAAAGATATCGAAGTAAGCTGGACAACTGTTCTATTCAATCAGCATGTGACCCAAATCCGAGATTTCTCTTCTTTGTGTTTTATTGCTGGGTTCATGTTTACGCAGTGAAAAGCTGAATCGATTGTCAAGGAATACAGAGAGCGGTGGTTTGAGCGGCGATCCTCAGTCAGGACATGCTATTTTATGAACTTGTCACGGTTGACTACCTGTGCAACTCGGTGGGGGTCAGGTGCAGTGCGCTGAATATCCATAATTTTAAAAGCATCGACCGGATTCCCGCTTTACTTGATGCTTTACTTATCAACATTGAATGAAAATACACAACTGAGATAGCTGTGGGAGATACAGTGATAACAGAGATCAGTGTTTACCTGAAATGTGTGTAAACAGTCGCGAAAGCATGAAACAAGTGAAACACATTTTGGTAAAATGAAGATCAGCTGTAAATACATTGAATTGAGCCGCACAGAGTAGGACAATGGTGCAAAATGGCTCATTCTGAAAATCACAGGTATATTGTGCAGGTCAGTAACATTTTACCTCTTTTTTTATTACTTGTGTTCCATACACAAGTCTACTGCTAAAAATCTCATGTGTTCTTATCCTCAAGTAAATTACCTTCTTGGTAGTTATACAAATAACAATAATCCTACAAAATGTTGTCCAGTAAAAATCAGTAAATATTCTCATTTTTTATTTAAACTTAATCATTGGAAACCAGTAAATGTGAAGTCTTTGTTGTATGAAACATATCCATATGTTGAACAAAATATAGTTCTGTTAAAATGTTCTCAGAATAACAACTGACTCAATGTCACATTTTTCAGTACTGGCCGAGTCTTTCAATCCAGTTAATGTCAATTACCAATTTACTTCCTCATCCCAAAAAGGAAGTCTCATTTTTAAAGTCAGTTCTCAAAGAAAAGAATTCTTATTTTGTACAAAGTTCAATGCCAGCCCTGTTCATATTAATGTTTATAGTGCAACTGTAGAAAGTAAACAAATACATGTTTGTTTACACATTTCAAATGCTTCTATGCATAGTGACTAATTTTAAAAGAATTTATCAATAGAATAGTAATAGGTAAATACATCCTAAAATTTTGCATAACAATTGCTAGAACTGGGATGATATGGCTCTTATGATTTACTTGCATCATTTTGTACTGATTGGATGTGAAAAACTGAAAATAGAACTTGCTTGTAGATGAAAAACATGTGCTGATGATGATGAAACATTTCGTATTAAAAATTGCTTTTAATTCTTTACTAGAAATAATCTTAACATAATATCACAATAATATGGCTCTCATCACAAAATTAAAAAAGATGTCTAATATTTATTTTTATTCGCTTTTTTACTACAATCTGTCATCCTTAAACTGTCAAACACTGAGCGGTCACCGGTGACCGCAACCTATTGTTCTTTAATTGTGTCTATAATGACGGTACTCAACGAGTTAAAACAATTTTTATGTAGTATTATAAAATTCCTTAAATGCAGGTGTATGTGGGTGCACTGTCTCCACACTACGAGGCCCTGTCAGTAGAAGCCTCCAAGCAGACCAGCTCTGAAGAAATTGTCTGCTGCATCACTGACAAACTCGGACTTACTAATGGATCCGGAGGCCCATATGAACTGGCAGAGGTAAGTTTATTTTATTACAAATAATTACTTTTCCATGTCTATGACCAGAGCAATCATAGTGAATTGATTACATATTATTATTATTATCAAATAATGGTTAATCTTTTCAATTACAGAATACATGCTGTAATTAGTATAAAAATTCTCTTCTGTGTATTATTTTAATGTATTGATGATGATTGGAAGGAAAATAGCCCATGTTTAACAAATTCAGTATTACATCTCCATCTTCTCCACCCATTCTAATATAGAAAGTGTTAGGTTAGGTCCAAAAAACATGTCAGGTCTCAACAAAATCCTGTTACAGAGTATCTCAACATGTTTGCTCAATATCTGTCAATTTTAAACAGCTCACCACATTGATACAAAAAATTGATTAACAATATAAACATTAACAATTTTTTGCTCATTGTAACTGAGTGAGTCAGCTTCTGTCCAAGACGATTACTTCCTTTGCTTGGTCATCAGTGAGACATTCTGTATGTGTCGTCCAGCTCATAGGCTAGATTATAACATTTTAAGGAAGTTACAGATATGATAAATATAGTTGTACACTTTGTTTTTAAAAAGTGATGATAACATTTGTTCTATATTAACAGTTGAATTTATCAAATGAACTAGTTTAGCCTAAATTCCATTTAATTTGTCGTAACTGTTATAAAATGATCGAAATGTGCCAGTTAGCTGTCGATTATTACTGTGTTGTGAGTTTAAAATTTGTTGATAATGTGTGATTCAATTTAATGGCTGAAGAACCCATGATTGGTGAGCGAAACTATTAGTCAGACGACAAACACACATGAGCTGGTACTCATTTATATTATCCTTAAATGTGTTGTTACTGTAATTAAAAGTAATGTCCCCAATAGGTGGTGGGAGACATGCTCAGCGGCGAGTGCAAGGAGCGGCGACTGGGGCCCAATGAGTCGCCCGTCGCTGTCATGTTGCTGTGGCCCAACAACACCGGCTCGGGACAGTATAACAGGTCAGTAGCAGTACCAAGAAACCTCTCATGTGTATGTGTCATATACTAATTACTTATGACACATTATTTCAATAATAATTATCATATCAACAAAAAAATTATATCGGACGTTGTCGCTCTGTCGATATTATTACGTTTCTATGAACAACATATACGTATTATTAACATTGTTTTCAAGTGTTACAACATTCACTCTTGTTACATGTTAATTTTCCTGCTGTAATTAACACTGTAGCGTTCAAGTTATGATTAATTTAATTAAAGTACAGACTACAAATTGCATACCTACCCTATTTGAATGTAAATATATTTTCCTCGACGCGGACAGTAGTCTGTGGCGAGTCGAACAATGTCAAATCAGGTTTTTCTATATAATTGTCTTATTCCTGCAATTATGTATTACGAGAGATACGTCTAACCTTGTCTTAAACACCTGCGTGTCTTGTGTCTGTACCTTTACATACAGTTGTGCTCATTAAGTGTCCTGTCACCGCAATACTATTTGTACTATGTTCTGTTGTGATGATTCATCGTAATTTGTTTTGCGCGAGGTAATTATCGTAATTTTGGCTTCTGTACCTTACTTCATGTACGGAAAAGAGACAACTTCAATTAACATAAATTGTACATCGAATTTCTATTATTATGCATTTAAACGCGAGTAATAACAGATGTAACTAAAACGTTATCGAAGTCCCGCTATGAATGTGTTTATTATACATATCGAACGTTGCAATGAAATAAGTGTTGTTTGAACGACTACTTAGTTGTATAATGAAGGGCTGTAGCAGTGATTGGGGATAATATCCCAGAGTGGCGCATGACTCACTCTTCCTGCGGCAGCGGCGTGATAACGGCGTCTCCATCCTGCCAATCAAACTGAAACTTTGCCGCTCGATCAAACATGGCCTCTAAAACTGTTCCACAACTCACAAATATTTAGATTTCGTCATTATGACTCAAAAGTAAAATCTTATTTTTAGACACTTTCCCGCTTATTAACGTCGATATCGCGGTTCAAAGGTTTTGTTTTTGTTTGCAGATTTTATCTCCGAGAGAAAATTCCCGACGAACCATGGATGGAGAACTTCTCGGTGGACCCGCAGCTGATAAAGGATTACTTTCAGCGCTTCTTGTACCAGCCGAAGGACCGCGAGTACCCCGACCTGTGCCAGTTGCCGGAGCTCAACGAGCAGACGTTGCTAGATAACTTGAGGGCGAGGTTCTCGGCCGGCTACATCTACACATACGTCGGCTCTATATTAATAGCACTCAACCCGTTCAAGTTCTACCCTATCTACAACCCGAAGTACGTGAAGTTATATCAGAACAAACGTATAGGACTGCCGCCTCACATATTCGCAGTTGCCGACGCCGCATATCATTGTATGCTCCGAGAGAGAACTAATCAATGCATAGTGATCAGTGGAGAGAGTGGTTCAGGAAAGACTGAGAGTACGAATTTTCTACTTCATCATCTGACGGCGTTGAGTCAAAAAGGATCTCATGGTAGTGGTGTCGAGCAAACAATATTGAGTGCAGGCCCAGTGTTAGAAGCATTTGGAAATGCTAAAACTGCCCATAATAATAATTCCAGTCGGTTTGGCAAGTTTATACAAGTGAACTACAAGGAAAATGGCATGGTGCATGGAGCTGTTGTACAAAAATATCTTCTGGAAAAATCAAGAATATGCAGTCAAGGTCGTAACGAGAGGAATTATCATGTGTTCTATTACTTATTGGCTGGTGCGTCGGAGCAGGAGAAGGAACAGTTGCATTTACTTAGTGTTGACAAATATAATTATTTATCGAGGACTGGTTGTAGTGAGGTGCCCGGTATTGATGAACAGTATGAATTTTCTCGGTTAAAACAATCCATGGAGATGGTGGGCTTCACGATGGATAAGCAGCGGCGATTGTTCGCCGTCCTCTCGGCCGTGCTACTTTTGGGTAAGTTTCTCAACGAATTTTGTCAAGTATGTTATAAATTCATCATCTCGCCATTAACATAATCTTATCAGCTGATAGAGAGGCTTTATTACTTTGATAATTTCTATTATCAGACATATTATTGTTAAATTACATACCAACATCACAGTGAAAGTAAATACATCAATGCAAATAAGTTGTGGACTTCAAATCATTTATAAACATTTCTAGTTTTGTGTGAAAAATATGATACTTTTGATTATACATACTAACATTATGTAAAAAAAATAAATTACTTTTGAAATCTGAATGACTAAAACACATTTTTTTTACAACACTAACAGTATTAAATCATGCATAGCCACATTCTAAATAAGTTATCTCACAAAAATTTCAAATTACTACCAAAGTATCCTTTTTGTAACACAGGATTATCACTATTAGATAACTATTCATGACATTAGACACAATAAGAGTAGCTTTTTTCAAATCATTTACAAGGCTGGTTAAATACTTACATTTTCCATATTAATTGTACAAGTACGATTTTCATTATTCCACTGAGTATAATTAGCTAAAAATAGGAAACTGATTCCTTTTCCTCCTACACTCAACAAATATGTAAATTGTTGCATTCTTGTATTTGTAATTGACATTTGCATCAATCATTTTCCTTCATTTATATTTCATATAACTATGTAACATGCTCTAATTTACAATATTATTGTAATAATTTCATTCAAATAGCTTGAACAAGTAATCTTAACACCAAAGATAACTTACCTTAATTAATGAGATACCTTAAATACCTTAAAACATGTCAGAATAGAGGGAAAAGTAAAATTAACTAATTTTGATATTCAATGAAGACTCAATTCTCGAATGATCTGATTTTAACAATAATATATTAATAAACAACTATTTAAAAACAGCTATTGAAAAGTCCTTTAGCCTTTATTAAAGAATAGAATAGACACAAGGATAATTTATTGAAATATTTAACAAATGATAAAAGAAAATAAGGAACTATGCAAAGATTGTGTCGTTTCTGCCTACCCCTATAGGACAAAAGCGTGAGCTTATTGTATGTTTTTAACTAGTGGTTAAGGAAGTAAGGGTTTCCCGCGTATACAGGAAATTTGGGAATTTATTTGTAATAGGGAATAACATAACAAAATATATCCCATAGTGAATCATCACTGTCATAAAATCATGGAGAATCAATTCTGTTTGTTTTCGCACTTATTCTAGAATCTAAATAGAAAATACTGATCAGTTCTTAATAGAAATGAACGCGGACGCTCGACGGGTGAATAGATATTGATCTATTCACCCGTCGAGCGTCCGCGTTCCTTATGATCCAACGGGTGCACACGTGACATGGAGAAAGTAAGAAAGAAAATGCATTTATTTGGCCATTGACACACGAAAACAAGGATCATTACAATAGAAATAAAAATAGAGTCAAAATAAAAACAAAACATTAATAATACATTTTATAAAAGAGAAAGCAGCATGGAGCATTTTTTCTTATGATCCTCCGGGTGCTTATAAGGATGCTCGAGGGGTTAATAGTCTATAGTAAATATAAAGCTGTAGAGTTTTCTTGAGCACATACATTTCTGGAACTATTGGTTTCTACAGACTGGCTGTAGGTCCATAGATTTTCGAAATAATGTACTATGATTTGCTTTTTAATGCTCATATTAACATTTAAAATATAACTGGAATGTGGCTGACATGTGACTAATATTTCTACATTTTATTTCATATGACTTAATTGTAAAAGGAAAATTGAATAATGAGTGCACTGCATACCAAAAAGAAAGAAAAAGTTACTGTAATTATTATATTGTTATTATTTATTTTAATGGTTTCCTCATGATTTCTAGCATTACCTTTTATTCCAGTTACGTACGTTTCGAGTTATAAAAGACGCAAACAACATTTTTCATAAATACAATCGCATTATTTACAGGCAATGTGGAGTTCCAACCGCAGAGGAAGTCATATCACCATGATGAAGCAGTGGGTGTACGGAACCCAGAGGTGGTTTCTCTCATATCCTCGCTGCTGCGGGTCAAACAGGAGACCCTACTGGCTGCCCTCACGTCCAAACGAGCACGGGCTTCCGGAGAAACCCTAGTTATAAATTACAGGTGAGGGGTATTATTCATTACTTTTTTTAAGGAATAGGAGGTAAACGAGCAAGCAGATCACCTGATGGTAAGAAATCAGCACCGCCTATGGGGACCTGCAACACCAGAAGAGTCACAGGTGCGTTGCTGGCCTTTTAAAAAGGATTACTTTTTTCCAGTCACAAAGCCATTGGTCTATTGGCTTATTTCTCGTTCAATCATTATCATTGGTAGTAGTAAACTGTATCAACTGTTTATTCAGTTCATACAGTTGATATAGTACTCGTCACCATCAAATAATATCCAGCTCAGGAGTAGCCATATATATATATCTTACAAAGTTGAAAGAAAGAAATAACATTTATTCAGCACCAGGCACGATGCAGCATAAATAAAATATAAAAAAGACAATAAAGGTGTGACAGTGAAAGTAAGTAGTAAGTAAGTTGAAAAATTAAAACAGTTGTGTTTATTCCTATCATTTTGCTAATATTCGCGCGTTCTCTCGCTTACAATATTCAATATTATTCAGTGCGGAAATAGTGATCGACGATTGGCGTAAATATCATCACACAGTCACTTGTCGATTCAAAGTAAATGCAAGGAAAACAAACAATATCTTTGAAAAGAGGCCAAGGTAGACAATCTTTTGTGGAATCTTGCCAGTAATTAGGAACAACCATATGGTATTTATTCAAAAGAGGATAGGCTTTATATCTGTTATTGTAATCTGAGATTTTGCGATTATACACAATGTAATCATGCAAATGAATTGATGTAAAATTTAAATTTTCTGTCCATAGGCTCATTTACTATGAAATTGTTTGTTTACTATCTTTGTAGTTTCTTATCTGTGAGGATTATCGTCTTATATTGAAGTCGCATTCCTTTCTTATGAGATGGTTGGGGATTAGAAGCACTATCTCTTGTCTCGTCCCTTCGTCCAAGCTTAAGCATGTGACAAGGCTGACGCACTGAATAAGTAGCTTTTGACATGGTGACATTATACATCATGGTATCATGCGGTTATTATTTTGTTTGGATTTTTTAATTAGAGGTAACCCTTTGAGTACCGTCATTAGACACAATTAAAAGAACAATAGGTTGCGGTCACCGGTGTCCTTGCGATGTTTGACAGTTAAAATTAAAATGACGCACAAATTAAGTTTCCTCAACCATTTCAAGATTGCCATACTTTTTTTGGTGTATTTTTTTTAAGTTTTAACACTATACAAATAAATGTTTTTTAATATTTCCATTGGTATCTACTTACAGATTGCCTGAAGCGATAGCGACGCGAGACGCGATGGCAAAGTGCTTATATGGTGCTCTCTTCGACTGGATTGTGATGCAAGTCAACCACGCGTTGCTCTCTAAAAAGGATACGCTAAGGGAACATCAGGGACATAGTATAGGTGAGTTACAATACCATACATTTCCAGTCCCATATAAATGCGACTTGTAAATCTCATATAAATAAAACAAATACTAACGACAATTCTAGACTCCGTACAATTAATTACTGAGAATCTTTCAAAATTAATAATACCGGTCTTAATTATTTTGGAAGATTCTGGTAAGTAAGTAAGCTGTAATTCTTCTAATTGTAATGTTGTAAGTTTGGAAGAATATTGTAACACCGGTCTTAGCACAATCGGGAAATGGAACTGATAATCCCATATTCAGTGTGTGTGCACTTGCGATAAAATGCTAAATCCTTACATACCTTTTTCATACGCCGCGCCGTTCAATAGCATTACCAATTACTACTCATACTCTAAAATTTACAGGCGTTCTGGACATATTCGGTTTCGAGACTTTGGTCTGAGCAACAGCTTTGAGCAGTTGTGCATCAACTATGCTAACGAGCACCTGCAGCATTACTTCAACCAGCATGTGTTCAAGTACGAGCAGGAGGAGTACAAGCGGGAAGGTATACCCTGGACTGATATAGGGTTCAGTGACAACACGGGCTGCTTGCAGCTCATTGAAGGCAAGGTCAATGGGCTCCTGTGCCTGCTCGATGATCAGTGCAAGTGAGTATTTTGCTGTTTTTTTTTAATAGATGTTATCTGTGCTTTTATAAATGAGTGAAAAGTGTAACCAAGATTAGTTAGGACTTGAGTAATTCGTTTGTTTTACTTTAGCTTATTTACGATCGAATTTCCGATATTAAACTGATTTTAATCCAAAGTCGTGAATCGATCTAAGTTTTGATAGAAAATCCATATTATAATGTCAAATATCAATCGGTATATTGATATCGGTTGTTAATAATTGAAACCATTTTGACAGAATACAGAAAACAATAATTTTATCATGATTATCACTAACAAAATAATTTAATTTCAGCTTCCCATGGGCGACGAATGAGACGTTATTACAGAAGTTTAATTCTGTACATGAGAACAATCCCTTCTATGAGAAGCCACAGAGGCGGGAGCCTGCTTTTGTAGTCAGACATTATGCTGGGAGAGTCAAGTATCAGGTAAGAACATCATTTCTAGATAAATAATAGAAAAAAAAGCTTCAATAGCATATCTGAATCATGTGATAATGACTTATTTAGTAAAAAATATTTGCCTAAAAAGCTTAAACCTAGCCGAAAGGGTTTAAGTAGTATTTAAACTAAAATGAATGGTAAGATTAGTTAGACTCGTTATTGAAAACCTTGAGTCGAAAAACTGTAATACTTTGTGCGACTAGCGATACATTTGACAGTAGTATTTGTATTCTCTGTACACCTATCAACTCATTGATTTATAAAACTATGACTCATCATAGGGATTTCATAAAAAAATATCAAAAATAAATGATTTTTTATCTTATTTTTCAGGTGACGGCGATGCGTGAGAAGAACTTGGACCTGATGCGGCAGGATATAGTGAGCGTGTTGAAGAACTCCTCGCTAGCGTTCGTGAGGGAACTCGTCGGAGTCGACCCGGTAGCCGTCTTCCGATGGGCGATTGTGCGCGCTTTTTCAGGTAATATATAGTGATTTAGTTTTTCTTGGTTTTTTGTTAATTGGCTTTGTTATGTTTGACAGTAATTTGACTTTATACCATAAAGCGTTAACTTAACGATGTCAGTATTCACAGCTGATTTGTTGACTTCGTCTACACGACTTATTTATACTATGAAATCACTATATTAAACATTATTGTAAAAACAATAAGGTCTTGAATATTGATGTAAATCGATAATTAATTTGTTTATTTTCCAGAGGGTATTTTGCGTTCCTGGAGGCAGGGCGGAGACACCGCGTGCAGCGAGTAGACGGCGCGTCCCGCGTACCGCGCGCCTCTATCCACGCCCCCAACGACACCATCATCAGGTCAGTTACATACACAAACATACCCTATTGCAACGTCATTGTGTCCAATTTGCATTACAATTAAAATCCAGCTTAAACAAAGTACATTACCACTAACTGCAAATTTTGTAATACCATATTAACTTGAAAGGCATGAAGAGTATTACTTATTATTACGTATATTATAATGGAACAAATTGGCAAGTGAAAAGATTATTGGAAATTGTATTGTTGGGCCTGTTTCTAGCCACAAATGTTCCGACTAAAATTGTAGTTTTCCAAGAAACTACAAACGTTTTCTGCAAACTATACTATTCAATATTCACGAGACTTAATGAGCTTATATTTCATATTATGTAAATGAAGCACTTGCGGTTTGAAACACGGCCTTGATGATTTACATTATTGTTATGTATAAAATATGTATTAAATATAGCTTTGCAAGCAACGTTATGTGACGTAATGAAATGTGTCTTGTTGCTCAGCCAACTGGTGACAGTATCGTCAATCAATCTTGCAATCAACCGCATTGCGTAAGTCACCGAATTTACGGCATGCTTGTTATATGTTCTATGTGCACCTAACGCATGGACATCCATGTCTTAGTCAAACCTGTAACACCCTTTGTTGCGTACTGCGTGTACTGGGCGAGGTCGCCGCCGGTCCATCCCGCCGCCACCTCGACTGTGTCTTTGTTGACTCGCTATTAGTCCCAAGCATTAGTTTCCATCTTAGCTCTCTATTAGGTATTACTCATTCTCACCCGCGGTCACCCTGAGCAGGTATGCATGCATCACAGTCTCATGTAATTCGGTCGTCCGAGTTATTTTTGTTACATTAATTTTGTAATCCTGGATTCCTTTCTCACTCTCCATCCCTGGGACAGAACGCCCCACAGAGCGGGCAGTAAGGCGCGCGAGACTCCGACGCGGGCGCACGCCGATACTAAACCCAGGACAGAGACAGCGAACGCGGCCCGCACGGGTGGGAAAGGGACAAAAAATTACAGGATCGCCGAGACTCGCACGCGGCGGGAGCGCGCGCTCGACGACACCGACGTCATGCAGCGCGCCAGCCAGATCGTCATGTACGTCGCTCTGTGACACTCCGATACTCTCTGCACCGCTCACTCCTCAAACAAAGTCTGACACGACGAGTGCTAATACTACCTCACTCCTCCTTTGATCAAATTCTTACATTTCATTCAGTTTTTTATTTTATTTGTACCCATTTGAATGATCACTCAAGGAATTTTGTTTGAAGAACCTGCGTGTTTCGGTTGGGGTCTCTTCACTTTCCTCTCTCACGGTGATGGCTATGGGTTTCGTGTTTTCGTGCATTTATCTGTCGCATTCTTTTGTGGCGTCTTTATTGCATATTATGTATAATATTATTATAATATAACGGTTGGTTTCAGCTATACACATACAATTACATCTTCTATTGCAATGTATTGTTCAGGTTTAGAAGTAAATAATACATAGACGCTGTAATTGTAGTTTGTTGCTTTATTGTATGGGTCAAGCGTAGTAACAGGTTTCTGCAGATTTTTATCTAAATTAAGCTGTAAATCAATTAAGCAATAAAACATCCTCTTTTACATTATAAGCTTGTTCTTATTCGCAGATAAATTGTTTTAAATCAGCTTCTTGGATTGCAAATTGCTCAAAAAAGTTTTGATAAGACCACATTTACTAGCATGTATGTAAATAATTCGCACATTTTCACTGAGCAGTTACTTAGGTGGTTGGTGTTCCCTTTAAGAGATCTCATGATTTTATGGATGCTTTAAAGGAGCAAACATTAAATTAAAACTGAATAAAATCCATATTGCGGTCTCTTAGAGTGCCAGTTTCTGATATTCATGTTGTTAAATGAGTTTGATTTGATTGTGCAGGAAAAACAAGTCATTTAGGCCTAGGGAGAGAGCGAAAAAAGGTTTAAAGAATCTCCAGAGCGTGAAGACGTTGGCGGGTCGCACGGCGGCGCCGGCCGGGAAACGGAAACAACAACAAACTGTCGCCGCGCAGTTCCAGCACTCACTCTCCGCACTCATGGACACACTCAATCAGGCCAACCCATTCTTTATCAGGTAAACTCTACATTACTAAACATTCTTATGCTAAACCCAGAATTACAGGCTTAGTATAGGTTATTTTTGTGACTTCTAGACTTATAGGACAATCATTATAATCGGTATTATTAGTAGAAGTGGATGGAACAGTAATAAGTGGTTTTAAAAAAATTTAATCTGTTCACATATTTATTTCGAAGTGGAGGGCTAAGGGGGAGGCTTTTGTCCAGCAGTGGACGTCTTCCGGCTGTTGATGATGATGACATATTTATTTTACTGAATATTACAAAATAAACAGACTCAGAATTGATAGACAATCAATTCAAAATACTGTCTTTTACCGGCGTTTGGATTTGCCTTCAAGTCTTCTGTCGGCAGTCAAAGATTATTCATACGTTTATTCAACAGATGTATAAAATCAAACGGCGAGAAAGTTCCACATGTGTTCGACGATGAAACTGTACAACGTCAGCTTCGGTACACGGGAATGTTGGAAACGGTCCGGATACGACAGGCCGGGTATAACGTCCGGCTCACGTACGAGGAGTTCATACAACTCTACAGGATATTATTACCTAAAGGATTGCTCAGTTCGCAAACTGATGTACGACACTTCCTCGCCACACTCAACTTGGATAGGGATAACTATCAATTAGGTAAGTTATTTCTTTAGTAATAAAAATTGTGAGACATACTAAATTAACAAAAATACAGCTAACTATTCGAGGAAAGCTCTACTAGTTTCAAGCCCCATTGGGATTCTTATTCATGAACAGCGAGGGCGATGCAGCGACGTCGCATAGCTAACAAATCACTTAAGAATAACCCGAATACCATGGCTTTAGTATCTGTACTAAAATATTGTCACTTATTTTATTTAATGAATGTAATTACGTTGCAGGTGCTACAAAGATCTTCATGCGTGAGAGTGAGCAGACGAAGCTGGAGTACCGACTGCACCAGCAGATCATGGCTTCCATCATCACCATACAGCGGTGGTTCAGGGCCGTGCTCGAGAGGAGACGGTTCTTGGCACTACGGCGGGCTTCCGTCGTCATACAGTATTTTACCAGGTCAGTGTAATTCTGTTGTATTCGGAGTCATTTAGGCTTTTGTTAACGTTTTGATTTGAATCTAGGAAATGGTACTGTTCGCTAAATGATTTTCTACTTTAATTTATAATCCCCTTACTGCTATGTTAAGGTTTCTTTCTAAATACCCAAATGATTTACTTATTGTACTCGTAATATTTTTTTTGTAGTTTCGATGTATTATTCATACTCTCTCCATAACACTTTTTTACTAACAAACCTCATAAAATATTCAAGTATTAGAGATAACAATCAAGAGGCAGAGAATGACACCTCTTTATTTCCCAGACAATGGCTAACAGCGCGACAGGTGGCAGTGGTACGTCTACAAGCGTGGTACCGCGGCGCGCGGCAGCGACGGTGGTACTTACGGCTACGTCGCGGGATCGTCGCCTTCCAGGCCGCCGCCAGGGGACATCTACTGCGACGGGCCATACTGGCGCGCAGACCTTCCGGAGACTCCGAGGTACATATACCGCATGATGTTATAACAATTAATATTATACATACTCTTTGTTTTCTCAACTGTTTGCCTTACGAGTCAGGGTTATCTTTCTTAAATGTTTCTGTCACCATCTTTTGAATACTAGCATGGATGTATAATGCATTTTCTTATTGCATTATAAGTTGACTGTTTTTTCCGCTATGCATTTGTATTATACAACACTGTATAATTGTTATTTAGATGATAAATGATAACCCTCGCCCGGATATGAAAAAATAAAATTCAAAATTTTGTTGATTGATCTCAGTTTGGCACCCTTATCCAATTCGATGTTTTATAACTGTTAGGGTTTGTTTCACTATCTTCTAATAATGTTAGAAAGAGGTTATGCTACTTAAAATCGAGGTTAATTAATAATTCTTCACCGCATCGGAATATAAGCAGCTCACTGTGACTTTTAGATATAGGACAGAATAAAACTGAAACTAGAACTATTACTTATACTTAAAAATCAAATAAAGTTCAGTAAGTCAAAGGTTAGATTAAAAGAATATAACAATAGTGAAGCAAGTCCCCCGACTAACAGAGAGTTGGCGTGACTAACAGTGTGGTCAGTGTGGTAGTGCAACACTAGTGTTGTTTGTGTCGACAGCATGACGGCCGCGCCGACCTCGCCGCGCGCCGCGGGCCCTGCCAGGACCCCGTGTGAGTACTCTACACTACAGCTTTACAATTATTGCTTACTTTTTCATGTTGATCCAATGACGTGGTACCATAAATACTTGACCATAATTACGTACCCTACTGTATTATAATCCTTTAATATGGTACCATGATTTGAACTCTAGGTCCATCTGTTAAAATTAATTTTCGTTTACTGGCTACCAACTCCATCATACATGTAAAAGCCAGCCATACAAGTTGCTACAATGCAAACGATCAAAGAGAAATTGCTCATTGAAATCCGTAGAAAGATACAAAAACTTTTTTGAAGACACACTTTCATTGCAACAAGTAATAAAAGTAGTTAGTTATAGTTTCGATCTTCGCATTGCACCAAATTCCTAAAATAATAAATAAATCGTTGAAATATTTTAGGAGTATTCTACGAAAAGAACTGGAAAATTCAAGGCAACTGAGGGCGACACAATCATTACCTATACCGAGGTAAGAATAATAATTATAACTACTTATATTCAGTCATTTACCAACCTAATATAGATTTAAATAAGCTGATGTGTATGTTTATAATATGGTTATTGTTATAGGGTCGAGAAGAAACGGGACATTTTAATAGATACTATAGAAAATACAACAAATGTTCAGAAAGTCAAGAAGAGAGTTTCCAAGACGGAAAATGCTTTGATGAGACAAACAAGCACAAGGTAAATATAGTATTTAATACCTTCAAATATAAAGTACTTCATCAAGCTACCCCAATCTGGTAATAGAATGTCAACTTTAAATCAATACAATAAAGTTTACAATTCAAAAACCTCTTTCCTCAGCGTAATACCCAAAGAAACGAGCGAGTCGCCAGAGGATGAGAGATGGAATGTCACCACGAATACGAACAGGTATCTTCAGACTGGAGTCACTCTACCCAACAAGATCACTCCTGAAGACTTAGCGGACGAATTACTCTGGCTACGGCTCGACCAGAACTACCTCATGAATGAAAAAGAAGCTATTACTAAGGTATAAATAATATTATACTAATTTAACAGCCCAATCTACCCTTACAAGTCCACTATTGCAGTCGTTTACAATATTAATACTAGTCGTTATTTTTATGTTTAAATGAGATAAATCTAGTATAAACTTGTTAATAAGGAAGTTAAATGTTTGTTTAGAAACGAGAAAAGCGAGAGAAAGAAGACTACACATCGAAAAAGAAAGAATTGGAGCTATTGGAGTCCATCATGAGTAGCAGTGAAGAGTACCTTAGGCAGATAGGCAATTGGAACCCTTCGGATAGTACGGAAACCAATAAAACAAGTATCAGGTAAGTGTATTATAGTGTTTTAATTTACTTTGCTTGAGAAGCGAACGTCATGAGGGACAACTATATTTGTCATGATCGCGGATGATTTACCTTCAACAATTTCACTGGAGAACTGACCGACAGAATCACATACTACTAATCCTATATTTATTTACCTTGTGCTTGTCTATCTCATCAAAGCATTTTCCGTCTTGGACATTTTTAATATTTTTTTTACGTTTAAAAGTGTCTTTCTGGTCTAATTGAAGAAAATATTTTGACTTTGACTTGAGATAGAATAAACTTCGAAAGAAGCGAATCGTATGCGCGTTCGATAGTAAAACGAACATCTACATGTTCGAATAAGACTGAATGAAACTTATCTGTTTATTGTTGACTTATACTGAGGCTGGCTCCCATGAACCAACCAATCAGAGAATTGAAACGTGGTCCCGTTTCTATTACTTTAAACGTAAAACAAACTCGTACTAAGCCTTATATCATATTTTGCTATTTGGCGATATTCCAATGTCGTAATGATAGAAAGTCTATACAAAAGGTTAAATTGACTAGATGTAAGTATAACAAGTGGCTCTGTCCCTTCCAGACGCGGGTCTGCGGGCGTGTACCAGCGCAGCGTGTCGAGCGCGACGCTGGAGGCGCGCGGCGTGTCCGGCCTGCAGGCGCTGCAGTCGCTGCCCGGCGTGCGCCGCGACCCCCGCGCCCCGCCCCCGCCGCACTCCGCGCCCGCGCCCGGCCTCTCCGTCACACCTGCGCCTGAGACACGTACGTATAAACATTCAACCTTGCATTATGTTGTCTTCTTGAACCTTTCAATGTCCTTCGATTCAACGTTAGTGATGTCACCCCTATTAAATATTACACATTGGGTCCTAGAACCTTTCAGGCCTTCGATTAAGAATATGCAGTAGGCCTGAAAAAGAGAAGGAAGGTGTGATTTACTTCTGATGAAGTGTAAAGTTCAAAGTGCTGTTCATAATGTACTGAAAGGTATATAGCCTTCTACGATTATAATCGTAATATGTATTATTGTTATCTAGCGGCGAGTACAGAGCCGGCCAGTGTATGCGCGGCGCCCGCGCCCCCGGCCCGGTCAGGGCGCCGCTCCCCCCGCCGCGCCGAGCGGGGCCCGCCGCCTGATATCATCGTCGACGCCTCGCTCTCACTGCACGATCGGTAACTATCATACGATCTGAATGTCTACTTTAGTTCTATTTCTAATTCAATTCTGTGGCAAATGCTAACTTTAGTACAATATTTTGTTAAGTCTCCTATGAAAATCTCATTATGATACACTTTTCATTATGTTTTTGTTATGTACTATGTTGTAACATGTATTGCACACTTATCCAAATTGTATTCTTCTATAACCTTGCTGATTTTTAAATTTACTAGTGAAACATATCACAATAACATCATCTTTTCTATAGCGCTGGTTCGGAGCAAATAAGTGGTCTAGTAGTGGCGGGGGTCCCCACGCCGAGCGTGGCGGGCGCAGCCCTGCGGCGGCGGAACTCGGACCCCGCGCCCGGGGACGTACGGCCACTCGACCCACGCTCCACTGACTTCATCGGACAGACTGGGAATGGACTCTTCCGAATCGCTGGCCACAGGTAACTAAAATAAATACCGAAAAACTTAGCATAATATTTCACCAAATTGACCATACCTACCCGTTTAGCACTTGTCGACATTTTGACAAACCAAATCAACACTTATTAATATTTAACACAACACAGTACACCAATATGTACACAAATGTTGTACACGATCGCAAATTGTTACGGTAATGTTATTTATTGATTGTACTGATTGTTAACATATGACCATGACCTAACTACTACATACGTTTTAATTCGACAGGTTTCGTAAAGGCACTCGGTTTGCGAAGGGTGACAAGTGCGTATACTGCCACCAAGCTATCGACGCATTCATCACGCAGGGCCAGCGCTGCATCGACTGCAAACAACTCTACCACACCAAGTGCATACAGAACAAAGGAGTCATCACCATGCCTTGCTCTAGTCCCGTCACCGTCGCCAGTAGGGGGCGCCACAAGAACAGAAAGAGAATCATATCCAACTCTAATTATAACTTACTAGATAACTCTAAAAGTTCTGTCAGTTCCAACTTTAACCTAACGGGCACGTCAGAATTTATGGATAGGACCGATAAGATAATATCGGACGCGACTGAGCTACAAGCAATGCAGAATTTCATTATGGAGAAGATTTATGAAATGGAACCTAATGAGAAGAAGAAGCAATCTGAGGTGAGTACTGAGCAGTGTAATATTTTAATCCGAAAACAAAACCTTAAATGTCGTTGATAAAGTTTATTTTTGCGTGTCCACCAAGCTACAACTTCTTGCTTCCTCTTCAACAGGTCGACAGGGTATTCAAACACGCATTACTAGAATTCAAAGACAATTTAGTAGCGACCTACAGCATAGTGGAGACGCGGGGGTCTGCGCTGAAGTACAAGGATCTGATTGGAAACTTCCTGCATGTCATGGAGACAGTTTGTGCCAGGGAGGGGTCCACGCTCTCCATCACCATGGGGGTCAACGCCTTTAGGGGTTTCATGGACGAGTTTATGAGCCAACATGACACTGACAAAGCTAGGACGAAAAGAAAAAAGGATAAAAAGAGAAAGGTATGGCTTATGGGGTCTTTCATATTAAATAACTAGCTTTAGCCATTATTGCAAGTTTAAAATAAGAACCTTGCATTTGTGAAAAATATTTTTCTTTAAACAGTTTATTATTCTTTAAACTTTTATCTATATATAAATGAAACCCGTTTCCCGTTGTCACGCTATAACTTGAGAACGGCTCGACCGATTTGGTTGATCTTCTTTTTTGTGTTTGATATTGTCAGGAGAAGCTTCTTACGATAGAAAAAATCCTACGGGAGCGTGAGAAAACGGGACTGCGCGTACGAAGTCGCGGGCAGAAGCTAGTAGATATTAAAAACCATACCAGTTGTCCATTTGCTTTATTGCAAAACGTGAACAATGATAAACAACGCAACTCTCAATTTGTTACTAACTAAAATAAAGTACATGGACTTTCAGAAGGTGTTGTTAATTTAATTTGTTGTTAAACTATTCGTGTTTTGTTATTCCAGGTGGACGATCCAATACAATACAAAGGTCATACGTTCATACTGTCCATGATCAACATACCGACGGAGTGTGAGATCTGCAAGACTTTCTTCATGTGGCCCATAGAACGGTCGCTCATATGCCAGACGTGTAAACTTGCCTCGCATAAGAAGTGTTACACTAAGGTAAATTTAAACTCTTTAATTATTGTATTTTTTGTTATATTTGCTTTAACTAACGAATGAGAACCTAAATATATACACAATGGTCTTCAAGCTTTGTGAGTTTTTTACAAGCTCTTTTATGATATAGGTGTCGACACTGTGCCGTAAAGACAACCAGACCCCGTCGGCCGCGATAGTGGGCGCTGTCGACGCGGGCGGACGGGAACAAATGGGGGTCGTCACACGAGGAAAGGTAATATACAGAAACTTAACACAATTTCTTGTTGTATGCAGTCAATAAAGAGAAATATTATGTCTACTACATATCATATTCCAGTTTTATCGTATTTTAAAATTATTTGTTATTTGTACAAACAACAGTTTATTTACTTATTTACACTGTTGACTCAGCAACCAAAAGTGAAACAACTTTCAACTTTCGAGGCCATTATTAAGATTAGAGACCAAGGCCTCTATTATACGATATTTCGCTATTCCTTGCGGTTCTTGGCAACCTCACCAATTGATAATTCGAAGTTCTTTCAAATACAGTTAAGTTTAGATTGTGTTGATATCGATAAGTCAATCGGAATAATGTATAAAATTTATTATACCTCTTACTAAAACTTCTTAATGCTATGTTCCAGGTGTTTGGAGTACCACTACCGGACTTACCGACGGGCGAGAGCAACATCCCCATAGTCGTGGACAGGCTAATTACTACGATAGAAATGACCGGCCTCTACACAGAGGGCTTGTACAGAAAAAGTGGACTTAGTTCGAAGGTAAGAATCAATGAAAGTTTGGCAGCAGCACATCAACAGCATGTGATAATCTTCTGCTGGATTATGAGTCTCCTCTACCTCTTAGCAAGCTGGTTGGAGATAGTAGCCCAGTTCTCTTAAATGCGTAGTCCCTTGGTCGGCTCTTACAATAAGAGAGTAATATTAAGGGTAAAACAAATTGTATTCCTCCTTATTGTGCCTTCTTCATCATCATCATCATCAACAGCCGGAAGACGTCCACTGCTGGACAAAGGCCTCCCCCTTCTTCTTTCCTTGTGCCTTCTTGCTATTTATTAATTCTTTAGTAATTATGCCAACAGCCGGAAGACGTCCAAAGCTGGATAAAAATTGGAATCATAACCAAATATACCTTTTGTAGGTGCGTGAGCTTAGACGGCTACTGGACGAGTCCCCGGAGGAGGGCGTGGACCGACTGGACCTGTACGCCGTGCACGTGCGTGCGTCGGTACTGAAGAGCTTCTTCCGCGAGCTGCCCGAGCCACTGCTGACCTTCGATCTATACGACGACTTCATACTCGCCGCGCAGATCTCCGACCCACAGGTACCACTAACATTCATTTTATTTTGTATGATTAGTAGCTGACCTAGTTCTAATTTGCACATATTTCCTAATTTCTTGCACTTCATATGACCCCGTGAGCTATATTTAAAAACCCAAAGTATATCATGACATTTGCGAATATTTTTAATTAGTCTGAAAAGCCTGTTAATTTTATTACTTTAAAGTTGATTAGAGAGAATTAATGTGAACTAAAAAGATATGGTATTATACTAAACCTCTTTTCTTATTTTTCTAGGAGCGGGTCTCTACTATATTTACAATTCTAAGAAAGCTACCGAAACCAAACTTCGATCTTGTCGAGAGGCTAATATTCCACCTGGCGAGGGTGGCACTTGGAGAGGATCATAATAGGTAATGTTGCCGTTTAATCGTCTGTTAGAGTTGGTATGCTAATACTAGTTAAGTGGTTATTATAATAATATAATGCATAGTATTAATCTCTTAAATCAGGGTTTCTCAATCTTTTGGTACCATGTACCCCTGTTAAAATTTCCAGGTGACAGTGTACCCCTAACTAATTAATTACTCCCCCCCCCCCCAAAGAAAATATTAAATTGACTATTGAAGAAAATAAGGTTTTTATTTTAAATAAAAGGTAACAAACATAGTGCCAAAAGAAATGTCTTTTTAATATTAATGTGATGGATGTGCTTGTTTCTTGTCGCAAATTCAATTTTAGATGTATTGGTCAATTTTAACATTACGTAAATCTTGTCGCGTACCCCTTGCCCTCGAATGGCGTACCCCTAGGGGTACGCGTACCCCTCTTTGAGAAGACTTTGAGAATTTAAGACTTAAATCATAAAAATAAATATTATGTTTAGAGATATTTTGCTTTACTTACATGATGATATTTTTTATGATTCTTATGAGTTGAGTCACTATTCTTGAGAATGCTCGATGTATTAAGTAAAATCTTAATCTAATATGTTTTGTACATTCATCAGGATGGGTCCGAATGCGTTAGCGATAGTGTTTGCCCCGTGCATACTGCGCACACACAAGATACAACCTGCACAGGACTCGCTGCACGACATCGCGCGACAGACTGCCTGTCTAGAGGCCATACTCGTTGATAAGATGCGCACCGTAAGTCACTTTCATCATTATAAATAGTATTTGTAATGATATCTAAAAGCGAGAATTCAAGATTGTCAAAAGTAGATTTGAGTCTGTGAATATTACATAAGTCCCTGCAAAAAGCTTCACAGAATTGCAGATGTCTTGTTTTGCGAAGTATTTTTAGATGCACCTGTTGGTTCAGCAACCCAAAGTGGATCTTGGCCTCCAATGCAAGAATTTGGATTATGGCGCTTTCTCGCCAAGTTTTAACACACATCTTGGTTATAAAACTTAATAACAATTGTTTGGTTCCTAGGTACGTGGCATGCTCCAGGACATAGCGACGCTGGACACGGCGTGCCACACGGCCACCAGCCGCCTGTCGTCGCTGCGCTCCCACAGCCACGCGCCGCGCAACGAGGAACAGATCCTCGTCGGACACATACACGAGATACAGAAGGAGAAGGCCATCCTCACCTCCAACCTGCCCACACTAATCAGGTATGACACCTACACCAAGCGGGGGCGACGCTAATGCCACCGTCATATCGTAAGTAACATTACTAATATTACTTACAAACTTACCAATTGACAATATTGGGGTCAAAAATTAATTATTCTACTAATACATCTAATAGTATCTAATAATCATAAATAATGATTATTAATGATTTGAGATTTTCTATCTAGCTTATTTGAGAGAAATAAGTAATAAATAATAAGCAAAATTTTATGAAAAATCTTTGATCACGTAATGTTGTGGTTGACAGAGCGACGTCAGACGACGAGATGCTCTCTACGACGGACCACGACGGCGAGCTGGGCAGCACTGACGACCTGAGTACCGGGGCCAGTTCCATGCGGTCGCAGAGACTCTTACACCGACAGCTCTCCTCGGACGACCCCATCATGGTGTAACGCCAGTCTTCACACCGTGGATCATATCAATACATAGACGATTACACCCGGGCTGCAGCAACGTAAGTGCGTCAAATAATCGCGAGCCTCCACCCAGATGCTATGCAATGATGTCCAAGTTTTGCCATGATAATTATAAATGTTGTCAAAACATGCATGATTCGATAAGTTTTCTATATTAAAATTCATGACAGAATAAATTAGTTCAATGTTCCTGTGCGTTATTTTACATTTAAATTGTTTAGAATTACACCACTGTAGAGTGTTTTTAAAACTCGTCGGATAGTATTTATTGTATGTTTGCGACTTGTCCCGTACTGTTGCTAATAGTTAGCGAAGAAATAACTTCAAATAGAGATTGATGTGCAACCAACACTCCTGTTCTTGTATATCGTACTATGTGCTATGTAATTGAGCTGTTTTAGACAAGTATACATGTGCTAGCAGTAGTGTGCGCGTGCGCAGTCGACGTAGCCGTTGTTCTACCGTACTTAGACGTAGTGATGAGCTTATTTCAGTAAGTCATAGTCGCCGCTACTACACCTTGGCGATTGCCCAAATTTGTGATGTGTGAATATAAAAGTATTTTTTCGTACATAAAAATATTTACATCCATCTTTGCACTGACGTATTTTATGATATATTTTCTGTGTAAATATGTAAATCTTGTCTAAAGGTGATTTTAAAAATTATAGCAATATATTGTTCTTCTTTCGTATTTTGTTATTATTAGACGACTTAAGATGACACGTGACTGTATTTTCAAAGTTTGCGATTGGTTGGTAGGTTACAACTACTAGCTACTTGGTGAAAAGTGATCCATTCCATTTTGTGTAATTATTTTATTTAGGTATATTATGTCGTCTCTTTGTCGACGCAAAATTGTAACAAAATTGTCTGACACACATCAAAAGAATATGCCAAATTGGTGTTTATTCTTAAATTTCATATAGTTTTAGGACGATGAATTAGTGATGTTGTAATTCTGAGTTAGCTCGTGAGTCGTGTAATGTTCTGTAGAAAAGTTCAAAATTAAACCAACCCAAAGACATCACTTAATGACGTTAGAATTACGCAATTTTATTGAGATTTTGTGATCCTAGTTAACTAATCATGTTCCAATCTATACAAGGTATCAATTAATTATTTTATAAACCAAAATTTATATCTAGTTGCTTTGCCTTCATGATATACTTACTATATTATTTAGCAACTTGTATGTGTGTTAAACGTGAATGTTGTAAAGCATTCAGAAAATTTTAATCTGGTTTCAAAATAATATTTTACATTAAATATTTTGCCTGAGTACTTATGATCATAACGAATGTCTTAGACATTTAATGGTTATTTTACGTATAATTAATTATTATGTTTTAAAATATAACAATTTCTTCTTACTACGGTACTTGGCGCCTCAACAAGATCGTTAAGTTTGTAAAACATATTCCTATGGTTTAATATTATTATCCCAAATATGATCATGAACACCATGTACCTTGCCTCTATCTTAATTTGCTTTCATATTCTAAAAGACTGTCTTAAAATAAGCTATTGAATTTATTGTTAAGTCACAAATATTTTACCCGCTTTTTATTAATTAGTTTTTAACAATTTACTATACAAACAACGAATTACTCTGTGACAACTTGTAATGTTTGTTAGCCTCTCGTTTAACTATCGTCTGTGGACATATTTTATAGCTCAATATTTATGATGGACTGTATTAACTTACTTATATTCTAAGAAGCTTAAATAAACTTTTTGTACCATTTATAATGCCACGAAATTTGTTTGAATCTCACAGTTGATACTGAGGCGTACCTTTTGAGCAATTTACACAGAACAGAAAAGTGAATGAAGAAAACTATTCTTAGACTTATTTGCATTTGTTAAATTTAAATGAACCGTGGAAGTGCATGTCTTATCAAGGTGCCGAACAAATACTATATTTTTATGTATAAAAAACTCTGTTGTTTCTCGTTTATTGGGGTTGTGTCGCAGTAATCTAGTGTACTTTCTGTGCCTTCAACTAGTTTGCTTTCAGCAGTCTCTGACTGGCCTGAACACGTCTAAAAGTCTAGCTATTATTGTTGATGGTTTACATTTATTAGTATTCTTGTATAGCGTTGTTAGCGTCAACATTAATATTAGCCACATGCATTCTACATTTCAAGTATATAAATATATGTGTAACGTGGTTAGGTCTCGATAATATAATCGCATCGTGTTTACGAGCTCCCCATCAGCGAACATACTCATAATCATAATGTTAAACTAAGTTATTTTACAAGAAAAATTAATGAATGTGCAATGTGGCTACGACTAGGAATGAACACTTTAGAAGTGTATGTAGATATTCGCCTGTTCCGCATAAGGTTTATGTAAATAATTTATTAGTTCTATGACAACTCTTAGCAAGGTACTATTTTATCTTAAGGACTGCTATAGTCTCTGCCACTGTTTATTTGTGAAAGTGCCTATCGATCATTGTTTCATTTTAAATTCTCTATTGGTGCATTATATCATTGGATTGTTGAAATTTTATCGTAGTTCGTCGTTTCATATTAAATATCATTCGAAGTTAAATTTTAAACCTAAAATTGTATGTGCAACATCACATTTTATTTTTCTGTTGCCAACTAGCAATGTAACAGTTATTTTATTAATACCCATGTTTATGGAACTGATTATAAGATATTAGTTGGATATTTCAGTAAGTTACAGACAACTGGCATTTGTTTATTCAACTCTGTAATTGTATTTGCTATAAGGACCAATAATAAGCTGTTTACACATGGTCGTTTTATATACCTGTATGTCATTTGACTGTGAACTTTGTCCTAAATGTTAATCAATAATGAATCTTGTATCATATAAACATGTATATTGTTCAACTATTTTTAGGGATCCTATAATGTGTCAATATAAATGAAATGTAACCAAAACATTATACTGTATACAAAATATGAAAATAAAAAAAAAGAATAATGAGATAAATGTGTTTAATTATATAATTATAAATTATGATTAATTTGTTTCCATCTCTATTTCCGATACTTTAGTCAAGGCAGTTTACCGATAGGACAAGTTGACCAGTCTAAGTCATTGGCAGCTAATTTCCAAATACTGTTGATTCTGGGTGTGCACCAGGCCTGTTGATTGTATCTTCATTTCCACATTCCTGTTCAGTATTTTCAATAATCATAACATCATCATTTTCTTCCAAATCATCAACTGTGTAAATCACAGAAGTTGTAGTAATGGGGAACTTTTCTGGAGTTGATATTAATTTAGCCAATGTGCAAATTTTTTGTGAGACCATTGTTGGCAGGTTAGGCTCAAGTAAGTCTAACAGATCACTTATAAAGTAAGTTAAATAATTACTGTAAGCAGTAATTATTGGGTTGATTTCACTGATGTCTTGTAGCTCCGCAGGGACAGATTTATGAAGGTCCAACAGAAGTGTATTTTTGATGCTACTGCCAGGGTACCAATGTTCATATAAGCGTTTTAAATCTTTCCTCTTCTTTGAAGTTTTGTCATCAAAACTCATTCTGGAAAAATATACAAGAATAAGTACCTAACCCATATTTGAAACAAATGCAAAGCAAATTAAGTTTCAAAAGTTATACTTACTTTCTCATTTTTTTGTCAATATTTTGTGATATCTTGAGAGCAGCTAAAATTTCTGATAGCCACAAGGCAGATAGTTTAGATTTAAAATGTCCACTTTCTTGACTTTGTGTGATCTTTATAAGCCCCAGAATTAAATCCAACAATAGATCATTTGTATGAAGGAATGCCAACAACATTTCAAAGCATTTAACATAGCTACTGCATAATTTATTTTTGTATTTAAAGTCACTTGCACCAAAGAAGTATAAAAGTTCCTTTGAAAGCAGCAGCGACTCATTTCCAAGTAATATCTCATTCATAACTGCGCTCGGCTCCTTCACCTTCAAGAGCTTTTTACCTTCAAGGTTCAATGTGTTAATAAGTGAATTAATAGACACAGTTTTTAGATTGGACAGATCAACATGGTCCTGAAGCAATTCTATCGCATTACTCACTATTGTATCTCTCATTTTCGCATTTGGTATTCTGATAAGTTTTTGATTTTCAGTTTTGTCTGAGTGCATATCCCTAATGAAATATAAAAATTAAACAGTGCTGCGATTTTGTATGAATCTCCAGCAACAGGGTATTCCTGTCCGCAAACATAATCTTGAATGTATGGCTTTAGTTTGTCCCAGTAATTTAATTGAAGCCAGTGTAAACTAATTGCACATCCATCCCTTAGCAATTTTAAGGGCGGCAGTGTGTTACTGTGCGCTGTATCGTGTCGCAAGTCAACGACCCAGTCTGGGACGCCTAAGGTTCTAGCTGCTTGGTATAAACTGGAGCCTTTTACTGTTACTGTGTCTAACATATGGTTAACAAATCGCATGATGGCAGATGAATATGCCAAACGCAGTAATTGATCACTGCTTCCATCGTCGGAATTCTTTTTATCTTCAATGTGAACTTGCAACAAACTCAATGTTGACTCAATGCCGGATGGCAGAGATGGGCTTCTGGCTTTCCACACAAGTAAACGTTCAAGCAACTTTTCTTTATTTGAAGACATATTTGCTAAATCGTTATAGACACTGTGCCACTCTTCGCTATTAAACCACGGAACGACATGGTAAGCCTCACTCATTTTGAATGGCTACTATTAATTAATCAATACGATAAAATATAAATACAGTCATACTATAACTAAAACATAACCTCTAAATACCGATACCGATTCATTCAATATTTGACGTTTAGTCAGTTGTCAGTGTCAATGTCATCTTCAATATTTTTGACGAATTATTACAGGAGACAGAGTGAATTAAGCATTAGGCACAAAAAGAGACTGTACAACTAGGAGAAGCCCCAAAGAGGGTCAGAGTGTAGCAAAGGGTGTGCAAGGGATTTGGGACTTAAAAAATATTTCAAAAAAATTAAAATTCTTAAAAATTCCTAGTTTTCTTTTTCCATCGCTTAGTACACCTAAAAATAAAGCGAAAGTCATCTGAGCACTTTTGTCTAGGACTTCACGTTCGCCTGAAAATGAGCTCTGAACTTCCTTCATTCAGATTAGCTGGTAAACATGAGGTGCAAAAGTCAAGCGATTCCGTTCGCCCCATCGCGAGATCCTACTGAGACAGTCTTTAACCAAATCCTCCAGTCCGGTGCAGGTATTCGACTGTACTGGCAAAAGGCTAAGTACTATGGTTCGGACAGAAAAAGCCACGTCGACAGTAGACTTGCCTACAGCGAAACCAATCTGATTATTGTGGAATTTTGGTCTACCTGGCAGTAAACGAGGAACGATAAGTCACTCAAGGACTTTCCCTAAAGATGTTAAAAGCGTGATATGACTTAGTGCCACCGGATGGTTTGTTTCCATTCTTGGAGATTACGCGAATTAATCCAAGTCGCCATATACGAGCAAAGACGCCTTCCGCGATACAACGGTTCAATACAGTTAAGATCGCATCAGCCGCGGATTTACACGCTTCTGGTATCATTTTATTTGAGACCGTCTTTATCAGATGATTTATTCAAAGGCAAAGTTTTAACAATAGTTACGAGCTCGTTGATGGAAGGAAGATCAGACACTGGTGGTATAGAGGTAACCACGGACCCTCCCTATCTAATTTCTGTACAACCCTCCGTAGCAAATCGCCCTTGACATTCTCCACCGAAGCCCTGTAGCGTGACCTGGCAACTCTAAACGCAATCAGTGCTTCATTAAAAACGGTACCAGTTACCTTACGTTTCTATAGTCTATTTAAATGTTTGTACGCTTTACGAAAGTGTACGCTGTTCGACTAGTTATTCCACCAATCGTAAATACGCGTAGTTAAGGACTCGCGACCAAAATCAATATCGGCATAGTAAATAAAGGCATCTGACTATCTGACATGATTGACACCCTCCTCGGCGGAGAGATCTCCGCGACTGAAGTCTTTGACCTGAGATGCAAATAATGAGCTAAAGAAGTTCCAATCCTCGCCCTTAGTCTTGTACCAAAAGCTATCATTGCAATATGTTGGACCCTGGGGTAATGTTGCAACAAATTCGTACATGATCAGGCGATGATCACTACACGACCCAACTGGTACACCACGCCACCTATCCAAGCTAACGTCCGCACTAGATAGTGTGACGTCAATACAAGATTCGTCTATTTGGCTGCAAGTAGGTGGTGCATGCATTAGGGAAGTTATGATTAGCGAGATTTATTTCAGCATTGAATTCTTCAACAGTAGAGTGCTTCTGTGTCAGCCCTAACATTGATGGCAAAGTTAGGGCTGACATTCAAGACAAATGTGGTCCATACCATAAGGAAGAAGGTTTCTTGAAAGGTTTACACGCCACGCAAGTTGGAGTAAAATTGTGTCTTTTATATGAGGGCAGTTGTCGCTTTCGTGCGCCTCGGCGTAATTACCGCAAGTAGGTCTTTGCAGCACAATGTTTTCTTACGTGCCCGAACTACTGACACAGATGGCGCAAGACTAGCTCGACGTCATCGATAAAACGGCAGGTAGCCCAAATGATAAATTTTAGTTGACACGAGATGTTTACGTCTACAGGTTTGGTTTCGTCTTTGTCCATTTGAAAATCTTGCAGTATCTCAGAATCTCAGGTTCTAGACAAAAAGTAACGAAATTACTCTCACCCCCTAGACATACACGCCCCATTAAAATATTTTTCCTGATTAAATGAGGTGGAAATAAGCTTGGGACTGAAATTGGCCCCATTCATAAAATCACAAATGTATGTGCCCTTCATATTGAGCCTTTTGCTTATACTCAGAATGGAATTTCAGACTGTGTAGTGTAGTATGCTTTCACTGAGAATTTTAGATACACTTAAAATATAACCTAATAATTGTTTGCCCAACCCAGGAATTGAACCGGGAATTGATTATCGACGCAGCGTGTGATATATGTTTGGGTACGTCAAGTTGAGTAAGTTATGTCGACTTGTGTGTAATTTGATAATATTTATTGAGAATATTCCGTAACTGAGAGTCCGAAGATTTGCTTGATCTGGGAAATGAACCAGACGCCTCTTGTCTGGCAGTCGCTTTAGCGACCACACAACAAATGAAGCAGGGAAACTGTGTTGTAGGAGGATTTTTGGGTTGAAAAATTGAATAAAAAACGGTTAAAGAATTATTATTTTTTTATTAAAAAACTGATTCCAAAGCAAATGTTGATCATAATATTCACATGCAGTTAAAACGCTACATGTTTTAATTTTTTACAATCTTTTTGATTCACATAAATTACGTAGATTCATCATATTTTATTTTAAATTAATACTTTTATGTAAGATGTCCTAAGTACATAATCAGCTTTGATAATTTTACAATAAGAAAGTTGACAAAACAAACATTATAATTTGTTGAATTTTGACTATGGCAAAATATAATAATAACAACAACATTTTGATTGAATAGATAATACATTCTGACATAAATATTCTATACATTTATAGACAGTTCAACTGTTGTTTATTCTCCTTTGGCACTAACATAACGTTCTGAAAATAATATTAATAATACAAGTCATGTCGCGTTTTCACTGCCGGCGATATCGACGGCTCGTCTAAATGCACATTTCACCGGGACCGGACGCCCGGACCGACAAACTCAACGAACGAAACGACACGAGTAAAAAACAACGGAGTCGCACGAGCGACCCTCCGCGGGCCGCGATAAATATCTATCAATATATAATCTCGATCAACAAATATAATTCAATAGGCAATAGTAGGACAAACGAAGTTTAACTCTACCGACGTTATCACAATGGGGGGCGCGCGCGGCGCCGGGCGCACTCATAAGTCCACCGTCGCCAGGTTCTGCGTCGGCGCCCGCGCAGGGCCCGGCGGCGAGGGGCCCGGCGGCGCCGCAGGGCTCGGCGCCGCGGGGCCCGGGCTGGCCGGCGGCTCGGGCCGCGCGTGGAACTTGCCGGGCAGCGACGCCAGCGCCGACAGCGCCGCGTCCGCGTGCGGGATGCGGCGCATGATCTTGCCCGACGTGATGAGGCGGCCGAAGCCCTCCTGGTGCGCGAAGGCGTACCCCGAGCGCACGGAGCGGCGCGCGCGGCGGGCGGAGGGCGTGCGCGGGGCGGGCGCGGCGGCGCGCCACCGCTGGCGGGCGCGCAGCCGCTCCGCCAGCGTCGGCCGCGTCCACGAGCACGCCAGGCGCCACGACACCACCGGCACCATCAGGATGATCATCTGTCGGACAGCGCGCCGTCAGTGCCCAGTCTCACACAGTACAGTAGTAACACTAAGTATGGCTGGAGTATACTCACGGTGAGGACGGCGGTGAACCAGAAGGTGGCCTGCGTGAGCGCGACCGTGAGCGAGCCCACGTACGGGCCGCCGATCGCGTAATTATAGAAATAATCTAGAACGAAGTACGACACCAGTGATCCCCATATCGTTATATGGTTAAACACCGTCCAATATGTCGTATCCAAGGCTATCTGAAAGTACAAATTTTATGGTCAGTTTACTTACAATTTTTTACCATTAGTAATGTATTTCTATGAGTATAATTACCTGTGTTGTATTGTCTATAATTAATATTGTTGCTACTACAGATCCTAGTAACATGTGATCTGACAGAATCAAGCCATCCGGCGCCAAACCATCTTTATGTACCTGAAATTAATGTATATGATGTAGTATAGATATCTGTAGTGTTCATAAAAAAAAGAAGAAATAAAAATAGTAGCGTTAATGTAGAGGTATTATATTCAATCCACCAATAGTTAACGTCTGTGCTGTTAAAGCAGCATGACATTTTGATAAAAAAGACAGGACATAAATATCTCACCATAAGGTATTAAGAAGAGGACGAGCGAGGTGAAGCATCCATGCAGCGTGGACTTGATGAACTCTGTCTTGTTGAAGAGTTGGCTGGTATGTCCGGGCGCGTACAGCTTGGGGAACTGCAGCGACGTCGTGTCCGACACGTCCTGCTCGAACACGCCCAGCGCCAGCACCGGCAGCGACGTGTAGAACAAGTTGTACACGGAGATGAACATCTCGTCGAACACCGTCTGGCAACCAAAATAACTTAAGTATTAGCTGCAGTTATTGGTAATTCTTAGTCACTCAACATTAGGTAAAATGTAAATATTACAATTTTCATTTTAAGAAGCAAAGACCTAGTCTGCATAAAATAAAGAAAAATGATTAGAATGGTATACAAACCTGCGCACTAAATCCGCAGAAAAACGCGAACCAGAAATGACAGACGGTGAATGCGAAGTTCTTGTAGAAGAAGTATCGCAGGAACTTGCACATCCTATAGTAAGACCATCGGCCGTGGACTAGGAGTAGCCGCTGCAGGAACCGGAACTGGGCGATGGAGTAGTCGGACGCCAACACTGCCTGCATGCCCTCCTGCCCCGATATACCCACGCCTATGTGTGCCGCTGGGGAAAGAAATAAAATAATAATTATTATTATTATTTAAAAGTTTTCACTTTTTATTAGCAGATAGCATTATATCCGTAATACAAGAAATGACGGATTGATAAAAAATATTTGCATCTGTCTAGAAACAAAAAGGTTTTATATACCAAACCTTACCTTTGATCATAGAGACGTCATTAGCGCCGTCCCCGATGGCTAACGTGACGGCTTTCCGACTCTTCTTATGAGTTCTACCACCATTGCTTTCTGCAATGGCGTCACTCGACAACAGATCACTGATCGACATTGTAATACTACATCTAAAAATCTGAAACAATAAATACTTTGTAACATACTGGAGGGTATAGAAATATTAAACAATTCACATTTTATAGCATTCGAATGTGGACAATTTTCCTAAAGCCGGTGCTAAACATGTATTTTGTTATTCATAACTCTTCGCTGAATGGGTGAGCAAAAAATTATTGGGTTTTATTTCGAACAGTTTAATAATTTCTCAGTTACAGAACGGAGTCTGAAATTGTGCCCGGTAAACGACAACAAGGTCACCTCTATTACATATTACATGTACATGAGACTCATAACATAACTAGTTAACCCTTTATTGCATGAATTATTAATTAAAAAGAAAAAAAAAGTTTTAATGTATTTTAATAGGGCTTGTAGGACAAAATATAAAGTGAAAAAAGGATCTTATTTTAAAGGTTGGTGTTTCACCATAATAACTCCTTAGTTCGGGGATTACAAGGCATTATGAAGTAGTATGTACTCACTTCTCCTCAAGTTTAGGATGCAGACAGTGTACGAGCGAGTGTCCGTTGATGACGATGGCGAACCCGTTGGTGTCGTCGTTGTGTTCGTGTGAGTCGGCCGAGTAGGGGGCGCCACCGGACACGTACTCGTTGCTGTAACAGTCTGGCTCACTACAGTCGTACAGCTTGACTTAACATTTTATATTACTGTAAGGCATTTTAGGGGAAGATAATTGAGTCAATTTGTAATCTCACACATTTATAATCTCTAATTGGACTTCTTTAATAATCGTTCATGACTTTAGACTTATAGGTATTTAGATAACTTTTTCTTTTTGAAATACGGAATTAACTGTTTTAAAGACTCTTCCTTATTCATTTATCTATCCAGTAAAAATTTTACTAACAATGGACTTCTTCAAAAAAAAATCTTAAAATAAACTAGATTAGCTCCAATTATGTTCATTCATAGTTGAAAAAACAAATCAGGGATAGACGGACTATTTTCAAGACTTATAAATGAACATAACTGGAGTTAGAAATCACACGAAGACACACAGAACGCTTCACATTTTGCTAACAGAACAATTGCACACAAATTGCAAAATACCAGCACATCAATATACTCCAAAACTGTCTTTTATTAATGGATTTTAAACCTTATCATCTTTGAGACAGAGTGGATCTATCAAAGAAACTTTGTTGTAACTTGACGTGCCGTACTTAAAATTAGGTAGAATCAAAATAGTCTACAATCATTATCTATACGGTGATGTCTACAATACTAATCTAGGTGTCGATTTAAAAGATAAATTATGTAAGGTTAGAGAAGGAGCACTCAGGCTTGGTGTACAGACATACGTGTGGACAGAACTACCGCTATATTAGTAGGGAAATGACACACTTTAGTTACAAAACATTGTTAGTTAACAAATTGTTATTTTACAGTCAAACAAAGCGATGAAAAGGTTAATGTAAGATCCAATTTTCTATATATTTAGTTATTTTGTACAGCTAAAGCCACAAAAACATCACTAATAGCGTTCACATTTGACATTTTGAAGCCCAGCTTAAGCACATACATTTAAAGCTTTTTCGTAATTTTGTTGTCGAATAAAATGTCACAAAGCATGTATTGTAGTATAAATACACATAGTACGATTAATAAATCTAGTACATATATTATATATAGTTTATAAGGATATTCATAGATTAACGTTAATAAACACGTATCATAAACATTGGGACCTTTGGTGAAAAATGAATGAATTTAACTTTTAATTTGACACTTGAATTTACGAACTCACTTCCATTTATGGACTTGATGATTATTGGAAACTAAGTACGAGTTTCCATTTTTTCTAAAAACAATAAGAAATAGCATTAATGCTTAAGGATTAAAAACTTATAGACTTCCATCGTGTTAAAAATGACGAAAATCTATTGTTTTTCATATTTCGAAAATATGATTGAACTTCACCATAGTGGAAACTTGAGTGTGGTCCTTAAAAATACCGATATTTTGGGCTTTCAAACGTAGATATATTAAACGAAGTTGGTATAGGACAAACGTGGCACAAGAGTAGCGTACAGAGTGTCTACCTGCAGTGAGTGCGAGAGTATTGTCCCCACCTAAATGTCCCGACGGACAGAGAGTACACACAGACAGTAGTGTATAGAGCTAGCGGTGCGGGTGCGGTGCGGTAGTAGGGCGTGTGTCTGTCTACCTGCAGTGAGTGCGAGAGTATTGTCCCCACCTAAATGTCCGACGGACAGAGAGTACACACAGACAGTAGTGTATAGACCTAGCGGTGCGGGTGCGGTGCGGTAGTAGGGCGTGTGTCTGTCTACCTGCAGTGAGTGCGAGAGTATTGTCCCCACCTAAATGTCCCGACGGACAGAGAGTACACACAGACAGTAGTGTATAGAGCTAGCGGTGCGGGTGCGGTGCGGTAGTAGGGCGTGTGTCTGTTCTACCTGCAGTGAGTGCGAGAGTATTGTCCCACCTAAATGTCACGACGGACAGAGAGTACACACAGACAGTAGTGTATAGAGCTAGCGGTGCGGGTGCGGTGCGGTAGTAGGGCGTGTGTCTGTCTACCTGCAGTGAGTGCGAGAGTATTGTCCCCACCTAAATGTCACGACGGACAGAGAGTACACACAGACAGTAGTGTATAGAGCTAGCGGTGCGGTAGTAGGGCGTGTGTCTGTCTACCTGCAGTGAGTGCGAGAGTATTGTCCCCACCTAAATGTCCGACGGACAGAGAGTACACACAGACAGTAGTGTATAGAGCTAGCGGTGCGGGTGCGGTGCGGTAGTAGGGCGTGTGTCTGTCTACCTGCAGTGAGTGCGAGAGTATTGTCCCCACCTAAATGTCACGACGGACAGAGAGTACACACAGACAGTAGTGTATAGAGCTAGCGGTGCGGGTGCGGTGCGGTAGTAGGGCGTGTGTCTGTCTACCTGCAGTGAGTGCGAGAGTATTGTCCCCACCTAAATGTCCCGACGGACAGAGAGTACACACAGACAGTAGTGTATAGAGCTAGCGGTGCGGGTGCGGTGCGGTAGTAGGGCGTGTGTCTGTCTACCTGCAGTGAGTGCGAGAGTATTGTCCCCACCTAAATGTCCCGACGGACAGAGAGTACACACAGACAGTAGTGTATAGAGCTAGCGGTGCGGGTGCGGTGCGGTAGTAGGGCGTGTGTCTGTCTACCTGCAGTGAGTGCGAGAGTATTGTCCCCACCTAAATGTCCCGACGGACAGAGAGTACACACAGACAGTAGTGTATAGAGCTAGCGGTGCGGGTGCGGTGCGGTAGTAGGGCGTTGTCTGTCTACCTGCAGTGAGTGCGAGAGTATTGTCCCCACCTAAATGTCCCGACGGACAAGAGTACACACAGACAGTAGTGTATAGAGCTAGCGGTGCGGGTGCGGTGCGGTAGTAGGGCGTGTGTCTGTCTACCTGCAGTGAGTGCGAAAGTATTGTCCCCCACCTAAATGTCACGACGGACAGAGAGTACACACAGACAGTAGTGTATAGAGCTAGCGGTGCGGGTGCGGTGCGGTAGTAGGGCGTGTGTCTGTCTACCTGCAGTGAGTGCGAGAGTATTGTCCCCACCTAAATGTCCCGACGGACAGAGAGTACACACAGACAGTAGTGTATAGAGCTAGCGGTGCGGGTGCGGTGCGGTAGTAGGGCGTGTGTCTGTCTACCTGCAGTGAGTGCGAGAGTATTGTCCCCACCTAAATGTCACGACGGACAGAGAGTACCACAGACAGTAGTGTATAGAGCTAGCGGTGCGGGTGCGGTGCGGTAGTAGGGCGTGTGTCTGTCTACCTGCAGTGAGTGCGAGAGTATTGTCCCCACCTAAATGTCCCGACGGACAGAGAGTACACACAGACAGTAGTGTATAGAGCTAGCGGTGCGGGTGCGGTGCGGTAGTAGGGCGTGTGTCTGTCTACCTGCAGTGAGTGCGAGAGTATTGTCCCCACCTAATGTCCCGACGGACAGAGAGTACACACAGACAGTAGTGTATAGAGCTAGCGGTGCGGGTGCGGTGCGGTAGTAGGGCGTGTGTCTGTCTACCTGCAGTGAGTGCGAGAGTATTGTCCCCACCTAAATGTCCCGACGGACAGAGAGTACACACAGACAGTGTATAGAGCTAGCGGTGCGGGTGCGGTGCGGTAGTAGGGCGTGTGTCTGTCTACCTGCAGTGAGTGCGAGAGTATTGTCCCCACCTAAATGTCCCGACGGACAGAGAGTACACACAGACAGTAGTGTATAGAGCTAGCGGTGCGGGTGCGGTGCGGTAGTAGGGCGTGTGTCTGTCTACCTGCAGTGAGTGCGAGAGTATTGTCCCCACCTAAATGTCCCGACGACAGAGAGTACACACAGACAGTAGTGTATAGAGCTAGCGGTGCGGGTGCGGTGCGGTAGTAGGGCGTGTGTCTGTCTACCTGCAGTGAGTGCGAGAGTATTGTCCCCACCTAAATGTCACGACGGACACGGCGGGCGCGTTCAGTTTCACATTGGCGCGGCCGGGGGACGCGCGCGACACGCCCGCCCCGCCGTTCGCCTCGCCTGGAGACTTTGCCTCTGATGAACCTGTGTGGAAGTCAATTACTTTGATCATAGGTTGGTCTGATGTCACCTAAGAAAAATTAAAAAAGAAACAAATACAAAAAAAGGTGTGGTCTCAATTTTTTCACAAACAAATCATGTGTATAATGTACTCTGATTGAAATTAGAGTGAAACCTATTCAAGGAGGGTTTTCGCGTCGCTAGACAAGCTAATTGAAAGGCTACATTAACGCATTTAACACATAATTATTGGCAATTGTCAACCTATTAGTTAGCCTATTATCCATTAATGACTAAGCTAATTAGAACCTTGCGCCTGACTAGAGCCAAATGATATTTTATTTTTATGAGGTAGGATGGCAAACAAGTAGAGGCTGGCTCCGTTCATAGACACCATCGATAACAAAAGAATGACAAGTGCGTTGCCCGCCTTTTGGGGGCTAGGCATTTGAGGATTCACAAATCCCCCAGATTTGAGGATGGGCGGATATAATTGGGTCTTCGGTAACCTCACTGACACGAAACACAACGCAAGCGTTGTTTCACGCCGGCTTTTTTGAAGACGTTTGTATCACGTATGTTTCAAAATATGCTTACCGTGAGGCATGAATGTGTTGACGACTCGTATACTGTCCCTGCACTTGGCGAGCTGTCTGTCCACGTCGTCGTACGAGGCGCCGTCTATGACGAACACCTCCGCCATGTCGTCTGTGAGTAACTGACATGAGTAGCCGATGTTTATCGCTGTTTCTGTAAATAAAATGTGTTTTGTGAATAAAAGCATTCAAGAATACAACTTATTACCTACATTATAAACATAAGGGCGATTTACTAAAATAAGTAAAATGAGTCTTATTGTCAATAAATTTTAAAATGGAGAAACACTTCGGAAGATTCTTTAAGTTACGTTTTCAGTCCATGTCATAGGTATGTTTTGGATTTGAAAACAGGCATCATGTTATTATTTGCAAATACAGGTAAAATGTTTATTTACCTTGTTTATCGCCGGTTAAGACCCACACCTTGATGCCGGCCATACTGAGATTCGCTATTGTTTCTGGTACACCGTCTTGTAATTTGTCTTCTATTGCTGTTACGCCTGTAAATAAATGTAAAAAATCATTAATTGCTAATATAATCGCTTTTTTATGGGATGGAGAGGGATAAACGACCTTATGGATCACCGAATGATAAGCAATGATCGCAGTCATAGGGATTTACATTCAATTGTAACACCAGAAGAGATACAACTTCATTGCCCCCTCTTGTAAGGGGGATTGGGGTTCTGGCAATGTTCATTCGGTTTTCTTTGAGGCCGTGATATCAAATAGGTCGCCGGCCTATTTGCCGAAGCTCTACTTTGTGTTTACATACTGGAACGATAATTTTTTATTTCCCAAAGCGTGAACAAAGGTGGTTCATCAAGATGAAGTCGTTTGTTGAATTCTTTGATATAGTGGCTGATGGAGATGACATTGAATATCTTATTATTATCAACTAAAAATTGCGGTTCACTTACATGAAAATACTGAGAAAATCGGTAGGTTACTGCAGTAAGTCGGGACTTCGCCGCGACCACGCACGCTACTCATGAGGAAGAACCCCTCTGTAGCTCGAAACTAGTAGAGCTCTTCGCAGTATTTTGCCATAACTCGCGATTTTTAGTTAATTAGTACATATGTCTCACGATAGTTATTATCTTATAGTACGTATGCTCCTTACCCATGAGCAGTAGATCAGTCTCGATCTCCTCGTAGATGGCGTCGAGTTGTTCGTCCCTGTCGTGCAGCGCCAGTGCGGCGGCGTGGTGCCTCCGCTTCCACTCCGCGAAGCCGCGCTCCTCCAGCGGACGCCACGCCAGCGCCAGCGTCCGCAGGCCTTCGCCCGCGAATTTCTAATACAAACCATTATTCATTAGTCAAGATAAACAAGCATTGAACTTATACATAGATTTAAAATATTTTTCCTTATAATTATTATTTAATATGTGACGCAAAGAACAGATAACAAATATTGCACCCAGGGATCAGACTGGATATTTACAGTTAAACCATCGCAAAGGCAATTTTATTTTATCATGGACATGTTTAGTAGAGTGAATGAATGTAAACATACTTACATTTAAATGTTCCTGTGTCTTTGACTTTACATCTGTTTGACTTCCACTTTTTAATCTGTCATATATTACATTATCAGCACCTTTTGTATATAACCTAATTTCACCATCCTTCCTCAATATCACGGACATTCTTTTCCTAACATTATTAAAATCTAATATACATAACAATTCATACACCTGGAACAAAAAGAAAACAATTTTGTACCACAAAAGACAAAACAAAAACTAAATTCAAGTATTATACTTAAGAAGAGTATACATACCTCTGTTTTACCCATTACTTCTATTGTAATACTATTAGGCGAGCGTTCTCTGAACACGAAACCAAAATTTCTTGCTGCTGAAACCAGGGCAGACTCGTCGGGCGATTGCGCCTAAATAACATATTACAAAATTTATGGTCGTTGTTCCATCTAGGGCAGATGTTTTCTTCTATAGTACCCCGTAAACACAGAACCACGGCGCGTCTATCTAGTCTGATTAGCCGAGGTAATAATGTGTACTCAAAAACTACTAGACAAATTATGCGGGCACCGACATTGTATTCTTGTGAGGTCTCTTATTGGATAAGGGGCAGATGAGCACACCACAAATCACCTTGATAAGTATCAGTGCCGCTCATAAAGACACTTAAGACTAGAGATTTTTTTTATAAAAGAATATACTTTTCTTGATGGTCAATCGGTTCGAAAAATTCGGTTTAAAAAATCTTCCACCTCCACCATATTCTTACCTGGTACTCCAGCCTGCCGTTCTTCTGGTCAGGCATGACCGTATGACACAGTGCGAGCAGACGAAAGAAGTCGTGGACATTCTTGTCGCCTCGCTTCACTGCGTCCAGGAGTGTGCTGTCGAAGAACTTGAACTCCGGCTCGTATTCAGGGTTAAACGAGAAGTCCAAAGGCTCCGAGCTCTGTTACACGTAAAATACCTAATTATTGTCAGGAAGGTTGAGTATGGCAACAAATCTACGGTTTTCTTTCTTTTTTGAATATATGGAATGGGAAAAGCAACTGCAGAAAGTTTGTCTATCGTTTTGGTAAAATATAGCTTGATCTCTTTTGTTGGACACCCAAATAATATATGTACGGGGTGTAAGGTCGTAGGTAATCTAATGCATTAGTGACCGTAAAAGTTTATTGCGTATAAAGAGCTCAGAACTATTAAAAGTTCTGCTGATAAAACGTTGCACAATTGAAATATTAATAAAGATTTTTATTAAGAAAAGAGTAATTTTTAGCATAGATATGAATTTACAGTATTCAAATATCGGTACAGAGATCAAACTATATTTAAGACGATCTATGTATAAAAAATGTTCAGCAAAATACAAAGGGAACTCTAGACTAGTTTCTAAAAAGGCTAAATAAAATCTGTATGAATGAGCAACTCAATGCAATCTAAAGTTATTAAGACATTGCTAACATGTTTTAGAAGTTACGTATGTATTACAAAAAGTGTTGCTAACAATTCTGTGTTGCCTTCCCCATTATTTTAATTTCTTTTTTTGTTTTTACGTAGATTTGTCTGTGGTTCTACAGATACAATTAATAGTGTTAATGCTTACAAACAACAAACACACGGTGCGAAGCCAACATGCATACAAATATAGCATCAGTTAATTACATATGGACAAGGACATACATACAACTTATACATATTAGTAGTAGTTTGTGTGTAGGGAAACATTACATAAAAAGAGCCCAATAGAAATTATTATTATTATTATTTGAGCCAAGAAAGATAGAAATTAGTTGTCTTCGTATCATAAATACATTTGTTTAGTTTATACCGTCTAAAAGAAAAACTAGTTACATATTTTTTTAATATGGCCCCGTTATATTAAAAAGAATATTTAATACTAAAATCAGAAACGTTTTGTTAAGTTTGTCAAGACGTTAATAAGCTAAAGATATTTAGAAATATAAAGAAATATATACGGTAGAAGACAGAAAACCTACTTCGTACATAGTGCGGGAGCGAGTCTTAAGTGGTGACTTGCTACTTCACTTGTGTGGGGTTAGCTCGAGAACATTCCAGAAGTACAGAGGATATACAGAAGAGGGGGGATAGGAACTTAAAACACAGGCGCCAGGACCGCTGCCCCCTCCAAATACGAGCTCCGACAACTATAGAACATCGATCAGATATGCTTCAACTCATATCCAAGCAAACTAAATAGTAAATGACATTAGCAGACATTTAACTTAATTTTAATCGAGCATATAGCGAGTATCCGATTTTTTTTAAAGTAAAATGTTTCGCACGCCACCACTAAGCATGGGTGCGTATGGCCGTACGCTGTAAATATTTGCATTGTAACAATAACACATAATGAACCTTATTTCTATGATGATAGGGTCTACAGTCTACACGAAGCGTATGACTGAACAATGACGTCGCAATAGCGACTAGACATACTCGTCTGTTGACAAAAGAAAACGATTGAAAGTACTACGGAGCTTGGTGAATAGAACATGCTATGGGCACGATCTGCGCTGGAGCGAATACTAACGCTAGATACTATTAAACACAGCGTACGGCTTAGTCGAGTAGGAAGATGTTAAAGGATTATTTCATAGTACAGAAATAATGGGGAATTACAGCAAAGACACTAAGCACACCAGCAGGGCGTGCGAAACACGCATGATTAGCGGGCAGACATTGCCGCGGGAGTCGTAGTAGCAGCGGGGCAGCGGCGCGTGTATGAGTGAGGCGGCGGTATCGCGGGCAGAGTTACGAGTATGTGCTGCGTACGCGCGGGCGCCGGCCGCCGGGCGTGCTGCGGCCCGCGTCCTGCTCCAGCTCCAGCAGGCGCGCGCGCGCCGCGCCCCGCGCCCCGCCCCCGCCGGCCGCCCGCCCCGCCCCCGGCCCCGCCCGCGCCGCGCTGTCGCTGCGTCACCACACACACATCACACTCCACCCTACATCGCCTACCTACCCTACTCCTAGGTAAACGTCTAAACGTGCAGCTATTGAAATTTTTCTTTCAATACTTTGAGGTCTAAATAGTCGCGAGCAATTTTCACTTTATGTAATGACTATCACAATTAATGTTTTTATGTTATTGATCCTCTAAGGGTTGCGGTCTAATAATGACAAATGTTCCCCATTATGTGTTTATGTCTGCAGGGCACAATACTGCACCGCTGATGTGTGTGACCATGCAAATAAAACTCAAACGAAATCTAAGGATCTAGTGATGCGCAAGGTGGATGTTCGATTGAAATATTCATCCGTGTAATGAACACATTATAACACAAACATGATACTGAGGTGTGGTACTATGTATATATCCACAAACTAACTGTAAAACAAACACAAACAGTATGACATGACAATAAAATTCAAACAGTTCACATAACCCCAAAAGCGTGAGCAAACGTGGACAATTTCATAATTTACAGGACAAAACGTAAAGTCCAAAGTACCTACTGTTTTGAAAATCAAAGTCAAACATGCAAAATAAAAGATGTATAACTGGTCGTGCGAGTCTTGTTGAATTTCAAGTGCTTAGTGATACTTTACATACTTTATACAGACTGCATAAACCTACATGCATGTGTCTATCGACTATGGTCTAGAGCATGTGCTGTTCGATAAATAACTTTGAAAGTGGGTACTTGGTCCGTGGCCTTGTTTGGAATTGAACGTACATGACGTACCTCGGCGAGGTCTATAGTTTCACCGGTGGTTTCGTCCACGACGTCTCCGTAGCAAACGCCCGCTATCGAACACTTGTTGAACGTCATAATGTTCTGAGTGAGAGTGCCCGTTTTATCTGAGAATATGTACTGGATCTGGCCTGGAAATAACAGTATTCATGAGAACTTAAGTTTACTAAAGTTATTTACGCATTTGTATGCACACGATACATGCATACAAGAAGCTGCGCAATATTTGCGCAAGCAGTTGCGCTAACGTTGCGCAGTGTTGGGATTTATTACTGAATTAGTTGACGTTTATAAATAATTAATTGGTGATAAAACCTTCATTAAACTTACCAAGTTCCTCATTTAAAGTGGTAGTTCGCGCCTTTGCCGCGGTACCAGTCTTTTCGTAATACATTTTCTCGTCCCAGTTTATGAGGAAACTCTGGGCAAACCTTATTACCTATAAATAACAGGAAAATATTTAAGCTGAGTTATCTATTTCATTACATCATTTTAAGTTATTACACAAACAATATAACCTTTTTAACTTTTAAGTATGTGTCATTTGAATACAGTTGAAAATAATTTGTGGTTAAACACCATATACATCATTATTAAATTAGTTATAAAGGGAATTATTTTCAAGCAATCAACATGCCTATTTTATTATTTTCAATATTAATTTGATATTACTGTTCACACGATTGATGCATTTATTATGTTGTTTTTTAGTGTAAAGATTTTCTAATTTACTCTATAATTCTAAATGGATTATGGAATGCTTTCGGTTGATACTGACCTCTACAGAGACATAGAGTGATATAGGCACGACAGTGTTCATGACGATGGCGTATGAGAAGAAGACGAGCAGGGCGATGACGAGCGCGCCCCAGGTGGGCTCGGCCGGCACCAGCGTGTCCCAGGGCAGGTAGGCCTGGAAGTAGCGCCCCACCAGCCACTCCCACACGCCGCACGCCACCGTGCAGAACACGCACATCGACAGCAAGAAGAATACTATCTGCAACCGATAAACATGCCTTTTAATATGGAGATATTATATAGGAAAATTTTTATTTTTCTAGAAATAAAAGAAGGAATATAGTCTTTTTGTCTCTCAAAATACATAATACTAAAGAGATGTGGCTAGTAAATAATTTATTTACGACAAGAGAGAAAAAAAACTAGTCTTATTTTATTGGGCTAAACCTGCGCTTAAATATACTTGCGCAAAATGTTCAACATAACATAACATCACGCCTTTTATCCCCGAGAGGCAGAGGTGCACATTACGGCACTAAATGCCACTGTACAATGTAACACCCACTTTTCACTATTTATGTTATGAGTCCCATGTAATAGGCAGAGTGGACGCAAGTGCGACTGCTGGTCAAGAGGTCTCGGGTTGATTCCCGGGTCGGGCAAAGTATTACTGGGTTTCTAAAAATCTCAGTAGTAGCACGGAGTCTGGATATGTGCCCGGTATATAGCAATAGGCTCAAAATGTTGAAATTTTAAAAAACACAATTTGTTGTATTTTCTATAGAGTTAACACTGCTTTATGGTTCTTACACTTAAAACATTATGAAGTTAAATAATAGCTTACCCCTATAATAAGAAAATTAAGTAGCCTATCTATGCTGGTGCGCTTGAATTTGGTCTTGCCGGAGTTCTGCATGAGTTTGGTGTCCTTCCCGGCGAATACAACAACGCCATAACACCACTGCGTGTTACGTAGTACGCAGCCGCGCAGTAGGATTTTGTCGTTGTCGAGGGAGAAGTGCTGGTTGCGCCAGCTCAGCGTACCTGCGAAAAAGATAAATGACCTTTAATATAAGAGTATAACGATGATAATCGCGTTTATGTGAATGTGGTCAACATTTTGAGGCACATTCATTTATCTTATAGTAAAAACGTACACCACATCGATCTCCAAAACTCAACACCCTTTTTTGAATAGTATTTAAACATTATTCCAAAATCATAAGGTCGAAATTCCATCAAACATGTACAGATTGAAGTCCATAGTTTGATATGATGGCAATCTAAAGAATAACATTATTAGAAAATACCATCAGATAAACTTCACAAGATTTATTGAAAATATTTTATCAGTTCATAAGACTACCGTAATCAAATAGGTACCTATGGTATTGAACGGCAGTGAAGTCGTATGGCCGACAGTTATGACGTCATAATCGAAGTGATAGCGAGGGGGTGAGGTGATCGACGGGACAGGCGATCGACTGCTATGTTTATTCAACCGAGATCCTCTGTTGGTGCTTATATTCCATTACTATAAGAACTCGTTAGTATAGCGATCACCAATTCAACTGCAAGTATCTTTTGTTTCGAATCCGGGTTGGGATAAGTATTGTAAATATTGAATATAAGTTTTTACAGTCGGTTAAAAAACAACAACGTAGACAAATGTGTTCGCATGACCTATTAAGCCAAATATTTGTATTAATTGCTCAAATTAGCCAAACGACCGTATTAAGTGGTTCCTAACAAAAATGTTATTGTTATTTTAATTAAAGAAACAATTTGTATCTTTAGTCGCTATGAGGCAAAATGTTCTTTATGTCAATTAAATTTAAATCTATAAAATAATATACATTATAATATACCTACCTATTAGTTAGTTTCTCTAACAGTTTCCTTGTTTGTGTATTTTTGAATCCGATACTTGATTACGATGAAGTCAAAAAGCATCAATATTTTCCACTCCTATTTTATAGCTGACTCTTGTCACGTAATCGATTGAATACTACTTTTTAAAAGTCTGTTAATGTTTCAAAATTAGAATATATAATTTTATTAAGGAGTATGTATGTACGTCAATTATCAACTACACCATTCTATAAATCCTCAAGAGGTTTTAAGGGCAGATCTCTATCTCTTGTGAAATACGGTCGCTTAACTGTATGTGATCAAGGACAACCAAATCCCAAACGAATTGGGAAACGACTTGTAGAATTATTTCGCACGGAACAAAACTTTTAGTAAAACAATTACAATAATTGGTTTTCTTCCGATAAAAACCTAGCAATGATTATTGTAATAAATACATACTACCAAGTAACATTTTTGCATAGATAAATGGCTGATTAAAGCGTAACAGAGTTCAACGAAGTTTTCCAGTCAATACTACCTAAATAGAAAGGAGATAACGGCCGAATACTGAAAGGCTACTTAATTATAAATTGTACTTAAATATCGTGCCATCTCTGTCATTTTACAAAGAATTTGTACTGACAACACTTAGATACTTAGGCGCTAATTAAAATTGAGTGGCGTTTGAGTATTTGGACATAGGTCTTCCGATAGCAAATACCGTGTTAGGGTATATTAAATTTAAAATACAATACACATAGCCTAGTAAAAGAAATAGCAATGTGTGTCTTGAACACAGTCAAGCATAGACATATTTTTATGATTACTTAAACTACTCCTTAGTAACGAAATTGTATCGAAAACCACTTGGATATGATACCGGTATGTACACAAGAGAAAATACATCTTGTCTCTGTCTCGCGTAGATCTGACAGACTATTATTTATTTTGTATTTATTGACGTTTCAAAAGTACAAAATTATGGATTCATTGAAATAAATGCTTTGACTTTGCCTTTGATCTGCGTTCGCCGCACACTACGGGTTATACGGGTTAGATGATTCAGAGTGCAGTGATTACTATACAAATAATTAGTTGTAAGCAATTAAGATAACTAGAAGAAAGCGTACTCCAGTACAGATAATATAAATAAACTGTGTCACTGACAGAGAATAACCCAAGTCCGTATGATTCACACGTTCAAGTACAAATACTCGATTTAGATTCCATCCATCAATATGATAAAGTGCCTTATGCCCGTATTGCACCCAGCGAGCGTATTATATGACCTGCTCGAGAAAAACGGTGTTGCAGTTTCGAAATTGATCACGGTAAAGGAATTTATATTTTTCCAGAACGTACCTAAAATAAAATAACATCACGCCTTTTATCCTCGAAGGGGTAGACAGAGGCGCACATTATGCCACTGTACAATGTAACACTCACTTTTCACTATTTATGTTATAAGTCCCATGTAATAGGAGGTGAGCCTATTGCCATATAGAGGTAGGTACGTACCTAAAATATACCAATAATGGAGTATTAATTTTACCAGGTCATAGTTTGTTCATTTATTTGTTATCGAAATGTCCCTAATTATGAGTTTCTTCATGTAATGGGTTGTCGTTGTAGAGAAAAATCAGACCTGGTTCTATGTTTTACGTACATAAATAGTGAGCGTTGTCATTTAAGTTGTGCAATCGCTTACCTCTGTCTACCCTTTGAAGGGTTTTTGTACCACTTGCTTTGATCACTACATTTTTGACTACTTTTTATAATCATTATCACCTGTAATTACCATACTTCATGCATTCTTATTCTTTGTTTAACTTTCATGTCGATCTATTTAGACCAAAGCAATCATACAATCAAGCTGGGCTTATCTTACATCTAAACGAGGAAATTAACGACAATAGCTCAAAATGTTTAGTGCCCAAAACATAAGAAATAAAATCCAATATTTGTGAAATGAATCACGTTTAGTTATTGTTTAAATTTTGAGACGTGACTAAAATAATGGAGCGGCACGGTTTGTGCAGTGGCTGTATGTTGAGCGTGGTGGTATGTGCATGCCATGGGTTCAATCGAAGCAATCTTTACATGGTTGGACGATGCATGAAAAATAGAATAATTCTACGATTGCATTACGACAAATAATAAAACATAAGCCAAAAATTGATATAAACTTTTTTTCCTGAAACGAGAATTTGATTTTAAACTCCTTGCTCAAAAGTTACGCTTGTGACCATACCAAGTGGCAGTAAAACTGTTAACGATACAAAAACACCGTAAGCACAACATTAATTCCCTACAAAACCATAGTAACTTTTATTAAGTTTGTGTAATCCAAATGGAAGGTTAATCGCGGATTTGAGAATCATAAGAATTTGCTTTGTTAAGTACTTTGTAATAAGACGGTTAGGTGTCTGCTATTGGCAAGCGATTTCAAAGTTACTTAATCAAGCGGCAACTATGTGCGGCTTCCACAGAACATTTCGCAAATATAGTGAAACGGTATCAGTAAAAACAACAAGTAATTGGGATAAAGTTTGTGAAAGAAACTCTTTCTTTACTATGTTGCCAGTCTTGTTGATAACGTCTTTAATTATAACTATAAAAATAAATTAATACTTATTCTTATACATAATGTTGTATTGTATTCATGTCAACCGAGCGTCACATCAGTGGATATCGAGAAAATAATTAGAAGTCGTAACAAAACGTAGTCATATTGTAGGACTTACCATCAAACTTATTAAGTAGATTGTTGGGTGTTTCGCAGACGATCTCACCGTCGAAAGCACCCAGTTGTGCGTCGTCCTGCCCCATTGCAGCCGTCTCTAAAAGGCACTGACGACATTTCAAATTCGTCTCCCTGCAACCATACAACAATAGCTTGAATATTTCCTTTATTAGCCGATACTGTACTGAACATTCTTGATCAAATCAGTCGTGCATTCAGTCGCTTGAAGTCCCTTATGGCTTTGGTTTTAAATTGGTGATATTATTCCTCTATGCTAATGGTTATTAAACCATGGTGCTACAAATTTTAATCTAATGTTTTTGCCAAAAAAGAAAAATAATGAACTGACCCATCCAACTCGGCAGTCTCTATGTAACAGAGACCGTTGGGCTCCGAGCTGCTGAGGAGCAAAATGTCCGCCGCGACGAACTGGTCGTTCTCCAGCCTGATGACGTCTCCCACCTGAACAGACGCCCACTTCTCCTCCACAAGCTTGCCATTGCGCAGAGTCTTCGCCCGCCTGTGGTTTACTTGTGAATCGTTTTGATGACGTTGCTGGAAAAAAACATTACTATATTAGACATTGCAACTTATATTTATTCAGTACCTAGTTAGTAATTTACTTGGTGTGACTAACATAACCCAACCTATTAGGCGTAGCGTAGTGCTCATGCGTAACGGTTGCGATTATCGCGTAAAGAATCTGATACTAACCTAATCTTCTAATAACAAATTACTCTTAAGGCATTTATGCCTTTGAGGTGTTTAAACATCACCCATTCATAGTCCTATCTCAGACTTTAATGTAACCATAAAGTGTGTCATAAGTCTCATAAGTAACCTCCCCAACAGAAATCTAATATGTTAATGACATCATGAGTAGGTGCACTAAAGAAGGCCAAACATAGTCCTTCAAAAAGGCCAGATGCGTAGTCAGATATTGCGTATTTATGAGCAGATGTTCGACGTTAGATCTAATAGAAATATGTAAGGAATGCTGTACTTTTCCTACATGTATAAGGAAAATCGCGCGAGTTGCGAGTGATTACAGTAAAGTTTCTTCAACCGCTGACCGTAAATAGGAACAAATTATATACTACAAATATAGCAGCCATTAAAGTACTGATCAGTCCAACTGATAATATTAATGTAGTGCCTAAAAATCACTCTTATAGCCACTGATTCAAAGTTCTAATTCGAGATAGAGATTTTACTTGCGTGTTTCTTTCTTAAATTGTAACGCGATGTTAGATTTTTACATACATAGCTATTTCGCTCTTCTAAATCAAGAAAAGAAATATATTTTTTGTTATTGTTTTGCAAATCCAAATCTATCCGAGAGATTACCGCTTTCATAATCTCATCAACTTAATAGGAAATATCAGTATAGACAGACAGGTATATCCAATCAGGGATACAGTCGGTAGATGTTATTCCACAAGGGGATTCTGTATGCATAATCCGATTCAAAACCAGGGCACTCTTGTCTGTGATACAACAAGATGGAGCTTCGCTTAATACCTCTTTGGTTTGGTTTAGACTTAGTTATTGGTTAATCGATACTCAGACACGTTTGACAGTACACGCACGTTACAAACATTTATATTCGAATATAGAACAGAATGTGAGAAAAAAATACAAACCTTATGTATTGTAAAGAGCAGTTCACACACAAATGGACTAGAACTTAAGACTACTAAAAGGGTCGATGTTAACATTTCCGGACGTAAAAGTAAAAGAACTCTAGTTTGACCCTCAATCAAAGTAACAATCTGTGTACGATCTACTTGAAACTTTTTTGTTAAAAAGGTAATTAATGTCAAGCGAAAGTGTTTCGGAAGTGCGTATATCTACAGAGCGACATATAAACTGTGTCAGAGCTCTTAAATTCACCCATTAAAAGGTTTATTTGCTCACGTTAGTGGGAACATAACAAAGAATATAAAGGGGCCTATTCATAGACAAGGTCATGATAATATGCGAAGGCCGTAACTGTGCTACAAATGCAAGACTTGTTTAAAAATTCACGATAACGCTAACCTTCCTTTAATATAATCGAGTTTAAAAATAAATTACAGGTAATTGATAGAAAACTTTACACACATAAGGTTTTGATAAAATTTTCTGTTTAAATTTTAGGACCAAGTAGTGTTAGTTTTTGAACACTAATTCTGCAGTATTTGCTATTTTGACGATGATTGCAACGTTAACAAATTACGCCTTGAGGGAGTTTCGCTAAAATTAGCGATGGTTACTCTACACATGCCATGGTCTTTAATTATTTATAAATGAACAGTCCATTTACCCAAACACGTGAACGCGTATATACGTTCATTCAATGTCTAGAGAAATTATCATTTTTTAAGCAACTAAGTACTAACACACAAGGTGAAAAATAAACAAAATATTTGATAGTATCAGAGTGAACTATTGTGTCATGGTTAATAATAATTTCCAAGGTTAAAAATCTAAAAACTCAATGGACATAAATCAAGATCGTAAAGGACCTCAGACCTCTAGTTTAGTCATAAGCATAAAGACGTAGCGTGTACCGACAGTCCATTGATTTCACGTCAAGTTTACAAAAAACTTATTTGAAAAGCATTTATCTATACAAAACAATAATGCCCCTTTATAATTATAATTTCTAAAAAGATCATCTGAATTCTAAATAATAAACTTATTCGGAATTTGACATTCACGAATCACTTACAAATAATCTCGATTGTCGATTACATAATTGACTATCGGAAATCAAGTTATGCTGTTACAGTTCGAGATCTATTGATCCCCGTCCGTCCACTGCATGACAGTCCACTGTACCTATATTCGCAGGAGTTAATCTCTCAAAAATGTTTATAGATATCCAACTTTACAATTTTGGATTAAACTTGAAAATCTATTGATGTAACCTGGGAGGGGTATGATGGACTGGTGTTCGTACATAACTCACATATAATCGCTAATTAAATCAAATGATCTAGTCATATAATGCACATTTTGTCACGGATCACTAATTAAGTACGTCTGCGTCCTTGATCCACAATAGATGACATAATAGGTCAGTGAGCATTAGCGACAATGTGCCTAGACAAGGACAGCATGCGTAGTCAGTTTTATTATTTGATTACTCCTACATACACTCATTAACACTGAACTAGTGGTCTAATGACGATTTCTTTGTAGAACACCATTTTTTTGTTACTTTAGAGTGTTTATTTATTGCACGAAGCTACGAAGCTCGTTTTTAGGGCCTTCCTGATTTATGTAAGGAAACATTTCGATTATATTATCCATCTTGATTTATGACACATTACAAGAAAGGAATAAAGATATAATGTACGACTAATTAATTATTAAGAGCTATACTGTCCAAGGCTGCCTTACAAAACGGAATCAATTCCATTCAATCGCTTTACAACTTTACGTAATACAACAGAAAGAATATTTCCAAAAATTCTTGACTTCGTTAAAAAATGTTCAAACTATCAAATATGAAATTTAGTACACATCCGTGTTATTATTTTAACGAGCCAAATGACGCAGCGTCGCGGCTCGAGTTCGATTACCGCATCGGGATATAAAGTTGGCTCGCCAGATGTTTGCTGCGAGGCTTTGTACGATTATGGACTATTAAACTGTAGTTTACAGGTTACTTACATATGTATAACAATATACTTGTAGCTATTATGTATTAGGTACATAGTACAACTGCAGTTAAGGTGCGGTAGAGATAGCGTATATGGTATTGCGAAAATCAATGTCGGATCTAGGGTTAGACAAGTTTTGGCAGTCCTTTTTAGGATATCCGGTTATAAAAGTTCACTATTGTGAGACATAATACATCCTTACACATACAGCGAAGTATGCAGACAGACAGGTCATTGACATATCACCATTTATTGTTCTATGATGTATAAAAGTGCCTTCTTTAATTTAATATTACTTACAAAATCGTCGTACGCGTCCTTGACGGCAGTGAGGGCAAGTACACCGATGAGTGGTATCGCAGTAGTGATAGGTGTGAGTGATGAGATGGCCGGGATCAGCTGCAGCACCAACAGGCACAAGAAGTAGAAGTTCGCCAGCCGCTGGAACTGCTCCAGCAGATTCAGCGGCAGGAACGTTATGATCGAATACTTCGATGTCTTGATGAAGTTGCTCTGTAACAAAAGAAATTTATAAATATCCATTGCTGATTAAAGCTATTTATTTTTTCTTTCTATTGCAGTCGGAATCGTACTACAAAATCTATTTCGATGAAAATGTTCTACGCTCCAACCCGTCGGATTGGAAGTTCCACGTGCCAACAGCCCAGTTATCAGCTACTAACTTCCAGTCTCCGGTCTATTAATAGTTAACTTCTTGACAGGAAAACCTAGTAACACTTTTAGTTCGATCTAGTGACCACAAAGAGACCTTGTAATTGTTATCCACCATACTGTACGCAACCACTAGGCTAACAAGACAGGGTAAATAATTACAGGCATGTCAGTTAGACTAAAGTAAATATATAACCATGTATAGACGAGGTTATTTGGACATTATTGTTAGCCCAATTTATACACCAGTTGCCATGTGAATATTGAAAGAATAGGTGAGGTTTCTATTTTTATCTATATCGTGGATAAAGTTTAGTTCAGGAATTTCTATACTATCTTCGAAATTATTTGATGGAAAATTACCAAAACACCTTAGATAGCCCATAGTTTCCCAAGATACTCTTAGGATCAAAGTTCAAGACGAAATCTATTCACCAAATGATCCGGAAGCGAGTACGCTGACGAATACTCATTCAGATGATATAATTAGGAATTACATCTTATCAGTGTATGATTTCATATTATTCACACATCCCGGCCTACACTTAATTATACATAGGCCGCGCAAAATCTTTGTTTACGTCATTTTCTGTTCATGCCAGTATGACGCATGCGTATTGTTGAATCTATGTCCAAAATAGAGTAAAGATCTACGATCAGCCAGGTACTCCTGTTTATAAAGCAGGTTAACGGGTGTTCTATTGTTCCACTTGTTAATAACCTAAGTTTGTAGAACACGTAAATTTTAGGTTACGTATATTTATGTAGGTACGGTAACTAACTATAGCTAGTGACTAGGTTTCGCTATCGTGCGTGACTGTTTAACAGAGGTCCTTACTTCTATTTTTAGATTTGTACGACTAAAAAATTCTGTGTAACAGCACGTTCGTCTTTGATGCCAATATTTCAAAACAAACGAGTATTGTTTTCTTTTTCAAACCAATATTTGTAGAAAAAAACTATATCTCACCACGCCACGCTTCGATCAATTCAATGATCAATAATTAATACTAATAATAAATAATTAACAGAACTACTGACATTAGGGCACGGCTAATAAGAGTTCACTAATTAAATCTGTCACTTTTCATTGACCCGCCCTAATCATCAATCATCCATTTAAGTTAAATGAATTAATCCTAATTAATCAGTTATTTCAAAGACATTGCTTAACTACGGATTATTTCGTAAAAAAAATGCATGAAAACACTCAAAAAGAACGCAAATAATAAATGTAAGTATAATAATAAACAAAAGTAGTTAAATATTAATTGAATTATTGCGTAAACTTAGTACAGTTAGATGTGAAAACAATAACTTTTCAAAGTTTTCAGTTTGCGAAGATTCCGTTAGAGAAGATTTTACAAGACTACACGGGCAAGCTAATTGAAAAAACCATCATTATTAATTTATGATCAGAATACAATTAAGAAAAAACCTATCAGTATTCCTATAACTACAACGGGCTTAATAATTACTTACAGAAAAAGATCAATTAACGTCTATATTACAATAACACTAGAAGTAGCTGATTTATTCGAGCAGAAACTGAATAACTACCAACCGAACGTAATTTTTCAGTATCAATCATCAAAGCATACGCGTTCGGCGCTCTGATTGGCCGGCTCCAATGGACCAACCAATCAAAGCATTGAAAGCGGTCTCGTTTCGATTACTTTAACCCCTCGAGCGTCCTTATGAGCACCCGGTGGATCATAAGAAAAAATGCTCCATGCTGCTTTCTCTTTTATAAAATCTATTATTAATGTTTTGTTTTTATTTTGACTGTATTTTTTATTTCTATTGTAATGATCCCTGTTTTTGTGTGCCAATGCCCAAATAAATGCATTTTCTTTCTTTCTTTCTTACTTTCTCCAAATGTCACGTGTGCACCCGTTGGATCATAAGGAACGCGGACGCTCGACGGGTTAAACATAAAACAAATTCGCAGTAAGGCCTCAGCCGGTGACAGTCCACAGTTCAGCGTCACAGGAGTCTACTCTACCGACGAGGGATTGCCATAATCTCTTAGAAGGTGGAAGAAATTGTTAGTTCTCCATTGTTTAACACTTTAGTCAGTTTAATCTAACATGGTGTCTCCTCTAGCTCCTTAAAGTCAAAGTCAAAGTATATATTTCAACTAAACCATACACATACACTTTTGAAATATCAACAAAAGAAAAAGGTCTAATCTTTCCGTTTTTAGTTAAGTTAGGCGATTGGTAATCCCGATACCTAATTATATATATGTTTATATCCTCGGCAGACTAAGCATCTTCCTTCTTTAAACTAAAAAAAGAAGATCATCTTCTCGTAATTTAAGGCCTTCAGGTCTCTTTCTAGTGCTCTTTAATTGTGCTACGTGGCCTATCTTTCCATCACCACTAACTCTAGATAAAAACATTGAATTAATATCCTATAATGTCGAATGTAGAACATTTTTCTCAGGAATCGGGACTTGCACATCTGCCCATAAATCTACCCCAGAGTAGTCCACTATCGACCGCACCATAAATTCATGGCTGTGTCATTAAAAGCAAGTGCTTTCTTACTTGGACTTACTGTAAAAGTCTTCTTCAATACTTATAACAATTTATGGTCCTTCGGTACCAAAGTATTATTTATAGACGGTCTCTTATGGTAAGTGGTCGAAAAGAATCGAGTAAAATTTTCTAATTTAAATTTCGGATTCCTGGATCCCAGATATTTGGGTGTCTGGTAATTACTTAGAAAAAAAATAATGTCATAATGGATCATAGAGTAACAAAAGCATAGTAAGAAGTACTGGAAGTAGAAGCTACAGTTAATTAAGTTTATAATGCATAGAAAATATAAATCAACTTACGGCATAGCGGAACTGCGCGTTGTATTCTCTGTTGTTCGCTTTGATTCTCCGTTCATTCTCTGCAACAATAAACAATAATACTTAGACATCATTCTCACAAACCGACTTGCAAACAGACTTATTGATCTAATTATCATAATTAATATCAATACAGTGGTATAAATAAACGATTGTTGCTTCTGTCTAATCTTGCTGAAGTACCCACACACTTTGAACACATCGTTATTCTTGATGGACATCTAAAATTCTTTTGTTTGTTTGAATGTAAACGAACTGACTAATTTGTACCTCAACGAGCGTGCAAACAATGTCTGCATATCCTCATTAAATTGAATGGTCACAAAGAGAATACAATGTAGAAATAAAATAAGGAACCAACATCCTTAGAAGAACAGGGCTTTTGGAATCAACAAGACACTCTACTTGGAAATTGTAATAACCTAGTTCATCTAGTGCTAAAAATAAGCTAGTACACAGCCATTACTAGAAATAATGAAAGTGAAAAAGTTTTCCTTATTCGTTGGAAAGGAGGTTACATACATTAAATTTTTTCGTATTTTTATCTGATTCTATGGTAAGATAAAAAAATACGATTATGAATCGGTTTTCCTGTTATTTCTAAGAGATTTTAAATCCAATGAATGAATTATTTTACCAAGCTACAAACCTCGTAACGCACTCATGATTTAAAAAAAGTTAGCTGCAAAACGAAGGTAACTGGTTAAAAATTGGTGCACGGGACACAAAAGAATTTCACTAACTACTACTTTGTTGTTACTTGATTCAACTGACAACGAATGTATCTTCGAGTAGAAATGAAAAAGTATATGTAGAGCACATATTAATTTTCTTAATCATATGTCCTACGTTTTAACACTCCATTATCGAAATTATTAATTCACTTTACGAGTTGTGTGTGGGAGAAAAAATAATAAAATTCAGAAGATGACGTATGAAAAGGTGACAAGAAGGCGGTCCTTCTATTATAACAACTGTCGTATTACGAAAATGATATTACATTCGTTTATTTTTAGATTTATGATATTTAGGAACCTCTGTAGTAGCATGTACTATATTTATTAGTTATAGTAGGTTGGGCCTAAAGGACAAAATTAACAATTGTAGGTGTACTGTCTATGACACAATGACTTTCAAATTACCTTAACAGTAAAACGTCCAAAAAAAGACGTCATAAAACGAGGGAAATCCTATACGACAGTATTCTGTTATAATTGTACTATCAGTGATAAACTGTTATCGGTTATAAACGTTATCTTCATAATAAAAGGATAGTTTAATTTATGTAAATACTTAAACCCAGTACGAGACGCGAGAAAAACCTAACAGTTCTCTTATCACCATGACTTTTACTAATGTCGAAACTAGAATAATCTCAGCGACTTTCCATTGTTTTTATGTTTAAGTGTTTCGTCCTTATGTTGTAGTCTAGAAGGCACACGTGACATGTCGCTGTAAAGTCATTGGTAAACTATTGATTGCTGCTTTACCGCAGATATACTAATACACCTTTTGTGTTATTATTAGGCAGGATTTCACGAATCTTTACCTTATGATATAAAACAGACTTCAATAATAAGTGCTTGAATCATAAAAATAAACGCATAGAGGTACCCTTTCATTCAAAAGTAATTATAGTACAAGATGGCAGGCTATAACTGAGTGCATCTGCAAAGAACGTGCCCCGTCAACTGGCACAGGGATAATTAACTAACCGCCTATTCATGAAGTCTGCTTTAAATGCTACAGCTGAGCTCCTGAATAGGTACTTCGGGAAAAGTAAAACAAGTTTAAAAAATATGTCACGTATATTCTCTTGACTTGGAATAAATGTTTTAAGGAGTCAGCGCTCCATTAAACAATTGAGGGGCCATTGAGAAATGTCTCCGTAACAAACGACAAAGAAAAACACCCACACGTAATTGCAGTGCTCTGCCAAAAAGATCCCTTCACAAACATTCTGCAAATAACGACTATAATTTAATAGCACTTAAGATCTAATTAATATCTCGCTGAACCGACTTGTAATTAACAATTAATCATGTTCCCGTGTCCCATAACGTCTATTTGTCAAAGGATGTAGCCCCACGGTGCGCAGCTACAAAATAACTTCCAGAGCAATAACTTCATTATAGGAGTTGAACGTTTCTGTATATTGACAATTTCTATAGCGGATGTAGCAACATCTACATAGAGCTGTTGATCTGTTCATCGTCTCGTAGTGGTTACGAGTGCGTCTCGACTGGGCGCCGAGGGGACGGCGATCGATCTCCTCCCAGTTTACGACTAATAACATTTTCAGGGGCATCGTCTCCACACACCCTTACTGAATCACATTACAATGCTAGACCTAAACACGGCTGAGACGTTCATGTTTAAGTTTCCTGCACGTGCCTCGTCTTAGGCTTATTCATATTCCATTACGTGTACTGTAACCCTACTAGACGTGTATGTCTTATTTCAATATCAGATAATATTTATTACAAAATATGTGTAGAATAATAATACCTTCAAGTATTTGACTAAAGTATTACACGACACATGCAATATAATTTACAGGCGTGTATCGAAATAGAAATGTATTACTGTTGCCGAACCAATTATTAAATTATTGAGGAATACTCAAGATTCCGGTTTCACAACTCTCATGTAAGAATGTAGCCACAATAATTGAACATTTGAAAAAGAAATCAAGGACAAAGCTACCGAGTTGAAGGACAAGGTGAAGATAAATTAATTTTCCTCCCTTCAACTTTTAACAAAGTGACGAAAATGTCGCTGAGATAATAATGCTGAGGGTAAAATGCTTAAAAAGGTCCAGAACAATTTGTAGGCGGTCATTTTACGAGTCGAAAGGAACAACAAAGAAGTTGAGGACTCAAGGTTATTATTTCTCTTAGTGTTCGGGTGCTTCCGAAGGCTAAATCAATAATTAAACCATTGATTCGAAATTTATTTCCGAACCTTCTTGGAAAGTTTCGTTCTCCTTGATTCTTATTTTACTTTACAGAAATATACTTTTTCTATTATGGTCATTTAAACTAAAATTCCACTACCCGCGATCAGCACGGGCACTGGGGCACTAAAACTTGCGATATGGTAAGTAATTAATTACCAATCCATGTTAAATTAACAATCGTGATAATAGGCAGAAACCGATACACGAATACGTGATTAGGTGAAGATTCGAAGACCTTTTTATTACATCCCGAATCGAATTAATGGATGCCATATTTTAGTCTTGGATAGCAGCGGATAATGACTTTTCTTTCTCATTTTCTTTTAGATATGATTATTTCTTTGTTTTATATCATCATTTTATTGTTATTAAATCCTGCCTGTGCCTGTGCCTGACTGACTTAAGAGGTTTGATCAGAAGATTTTTTAGCATTGGGCAAAATTTGTGGTCCTTTCCTACAGCGGACTGCAAATGAAAGCATCAACGACTCTACAAGCTCTGATATTAAAATGTGTTATCTACACTTATTTTGGGCAGACACATCAGAGATTTTGGCTTGGTGACGGCAATCAACCGAATATTTAAAGAATTTCAAACAAATGACTCATCATGTTCATTTTCAGCTGTTATCCGCCCACAGCGTCTCATTGTCCTGTGATTGTGCTGCGGTTACATCCAGGTTGTACTTCCAATTTCTTGTTATGTCGTTGACCTCAGCTGGCCTTCATTCATCGGCTGGCAGCTTGTCTAGCTCAGTGTTATGCAAATCCCCATTGTATTGAATCCGATATTATAATTCACAATTACAATTGCCTTTTGGACGTGGGTTTTCATAAAATGCCTCCTATAATGTCCAATTTTATATAGATTTATCTATTTTGGCATACTTCTTAAAGACATTATTATAGAAGATTATTATAATAAGTTATAAATCATGTCACGAATATTCGGAATACTAAAGCTGATTTGAAAATGTTACCAGTGTTAAACGTAATTTTTCAGATACCCAGTATTTTACGCTGGTATTTTCATCAGATTTTGCAATTCCAAGGTATCATACAAAAATATACCTCTATTTGCCTCACTTCTGGGTTTAGGCCTGGCATGTTTTAATATGTATGTATAATTACCAAATTAGATCTCTGCCTTTTTGTTTACCTCAGTCATTATGTACTTGACTTGCATTTGACTATTTAATATTAATTTAGTACTCATATTTTAGTACTTTTTAAATGTAGGTGCGAAACGAATACCTCGCATTAGACACGGTTATAAAAGGCAACACCGAAACGCCATTTTCTCGAAGGAAAAGGGTCCTAACTCTTCAACTTCATTCATGGAATTATTAAGTAATCCCGTTTTCCACATGGCATATTTCATCATAACACACCATTTTGTTTCGAAAGGCACTATTTAATGCAACAACAAAATAATCTAATTACGCGCGATTTACACGCAGTGATGCTGATAATTCCTTTGCTCGTGAAAAAAAACATGGAGCAAACAGGTAGCTACGCAGTTTTTGTATTGATTACCAGGAAAATATTGTATTACTCTATTAACATACTTCCCTGAAGTACGGAAGTTGACATATTGGCAAAAGAATTGCATCCTAATTAAATTTAGTGAAGTGAAACATTAGCGGGTAATCGATAACAACAGCGCGGGGTCATACGCGAAGCGCTGAAGCGCCGTCTCACCCCGGCCGTTGACCGTACGGGGGCGCGCCGACACCGACCTTGTCCACTATGTACAATTGTGCATCATCTCTATTCCTGAAATGACTCATCATCAATCGGGGGAAGTCGCTCTACCATTCACAGCGAGCCGGCCAAAACGAAAACATGTCGGCGAGCGTCTGAGTAGAATACCAAGACGTTACGCAAACGATATCAGCGTCGCTTGCACGCTGCGAGACACGTACGATACTAGATGACGCAGGACTTCGCCGGCGGCCAACGAAATAAAATTCAATAAGACGTTTTTATCGGTAAGATCTTAATGACAGCAACAAATCAATAGATACCGACCGCACGAGACGAAAGTACGGAACCGATGATTGTGCCTAGCGCGGCGGTGCGACGGGGCGGGCTGGTCTCGGCGCACCAGCTTGCCCAGCAGCTCGAGGAGGGACAGGCGCAGCGGGCGCGGCGGCACGCGCGGCTCTCCGCCCTCCGCGCCCAGCACCTCCAGCTCCACAGCCTCGGATCGCGCGCACATCCGCGCCGTTACCGCCGCCCCATGTCGCGCGCCGCTCCGCGCGGCCACCCCGGCGGCTGGCCCGCTCCGCACCCGGTACACGCCGCACGCCACTCGCCGCTCGCGACACGCGCCCGCACGCGCGCTCTGACCCGTCGCAGGGCCGAGACTCGTGTGCCGCACACACTAGCGCCGTCTGCTCGGCGCGCGCATCCCACACCGATACTGATTATGCCACCGCCCCGGTGTTGCCATCTTTTCTCAGTGTTTACTCCTAATAAAACTGATAGCCATGGGGAAAATCTAAAATCTTGATCATGTGACGGTTGTGAAAATATGCCTCGCATTCCAATTTCCACGATATCCATCTAATCTCCAAACACAGGTTAATCCTAAAATTATACTATTCGTCACTTGGTCTGAGACCGAGAAGGTACCGATCGCAACACCTGTTCAAAACTTCCGGAATTTGGAAACTCACTATGTTGAATATTTTTCTAATATATGTAGTAATTTATGATGTAAACAAACAATTTTTATCGTGTGTGCTAAAAAAATGAAAAAGTGTGGATACTTCAACAAAGCGTTTTACTAACTCATAATAAACCTCGCAGGTGAAAAAGGGATTAGCGAAGAAAGATTTTTAAAATGTCCTGTCCAGATTTATGATGCGAGCGGCAAGCATTGGAGCTAAGTAAGGAGCCCAGTATAAGTTGAAACTCGTCCTTTATCGTGTCTGGCTAACTTCCGCACAAAAGCATTTTACACGTCCTAGCTTCTGTCAAGATAAATTGCTTTTTCGTACATTAAGCTAAGAAAGTCTTTCTTAGTTCCGTAATTAAACGAGATTTATTGAGATTTCAAGTGTAACTAACCTCACTATTGGAAGTATTATAAAAAGGTTCGATGAGGTAACGTAACATGAGATTAATTATAAAAACACCTAAACACAATATTGGAAGCAAATATTTTTTCTTTGGAAATCACTTGAGAAATTACAGAGGCATTTATTGAAACAAGTGGGCAACTTAGACATAATACAAAACAGGTACAGACACAAACCGTCTAGTTGTCAAAATTTCAACAGAAAGGCCCTTACTACAAGGAACAATGGAGTACAATGGCGTCTGGACCTGACTTTATCTGGCTCCACTCGAATATTTCCGACGACATTTAATTTATTTCTCAAGATAATTTCAAAAAGTCTTTGCGATGTTTTAGTTAACCGAGTGCCCCTTTCATCATAAATTGTGTCCAGCAATGACCTTTTATAATTCCTCAGGGATCCAAACTCTAGACTAATTTTACTTAGAGCATACATCGGTAATCCCAGAGGTTGCGATTTTAGGTCACCAATATTATGTAAACACACGCTTATGTACAATTTACATGGCGTGTCCCGAGCTCTTCTTGGCCAGCGCCAGAGAACGCGTCGTCCATTGGTGATGTTTATATAAAACTATTAAATCGCATTAGCGGACATTACTTTCCTTCGACGTTTAATACGAGCACGAGGCATCGATTATTAAATGGTAAATGCACTATGCAGTGTAGTCGACTCAATAGCACTTCAGATGTGCATACAATGTTATCATTGCGGATTGAGTTAGTTATTCCAAAAATATTTCCAACGTTAACAGTTTTGGCACTAGTTTCTTTTTAATCGAAGCTTCTGAGAAGTAATAAACATTACCATCTGTTGTTTTACTAAGAGATAGATATAGTTTATTGTATAAAATTTCCAGTTTTGGCTTGTTGAGAGCCATGCAATAATGGGATCATCATGACCCCTTTTTAAGTGTTTACGAAAGCGAAAAAAAAGCTTAAAACATTAACGAATAGTTCCAAGGAATATTTTTCAAGGACATTTGGATACTTAAAATTAAATCTTAATCCTCGTGCACAGTATTTAATAAAGCGTCTTCTCAACTAACGACACAGTCACGATAATTCATTTGTTTCATATTTTGCAGACAAAGCTGGTGTCACATTTAAAGTCACAAAGCACAAAATACATGAAGAATAAACATAATATAAATCTATAAACATAATTCTCCTTGTCACATAGAGTTCAAGACAGATAAAGGTTAACCTGTATACTTTATTGGAAATTTAACCAACCGGCAACCCCATGACAGCTTAACCGACATAGTAAACAAACGTTCAAACTTTGAACAAGTAATGAACACATATCAAATATTTGTCTAAAGCATAAAATCACGGCGGTGTCAAAAGTTAGACAGACATTAATTGTTGGTGGTAGAACTATGGATGACGGTACCGATGGAAGGGGCGGATTTTTAATTAAGCTTACAGTAAAATTAACTTAGATTTAATAAAGATTTCGACTTCAAAGTGAACCCATTCATTTGCCATATCCATTTCTCAAATTAACTGGAAAATGAGTAGTAGGACGAAATCTTAATCAGAGATGGTATCTTAAGCTCTTTAAGAATACGCTAAGACATTCAGCTTGAACAGTACCAATATCAGTGTGACAAAGAGGTAAAATTTAAATTATAAAATATTTCCCGCTTAGAAAAAGAATGTCTTCCATCTATCGATGTCAATGACGAAGAATGTCCACTGCTACTGAACACCCATCCCTGAATCCATATGCTAGACAAAAAAGAATCAAAAGAAATATAATTTCTAGTCTACTTATTAAAAATGTAATTTTATGTAAAAGTGATCGATTGGACGAGTACAAATCATAATAATTATATTCCTTCACAACTCGAATTACGGAGTAAAACGAAGGACGGTATAATTATCATCTTACGGTATACAGTAATGACAGTGGACGGTCAGTGTCATGGATGACGTGCAATTATAAGTTCAATATCATAAGTGATCGATATTGGAGCCGTAAGTGAAGGTAACGAGAAAGTGGAACAAATTGGAGCAATTAACAGAGTTCAAGTGGACGATTGGAATTATTAAAATATTTCTTTATTCTTTGGTATTTATGAAAAAATTTAGTAATTAAAGTTGATAAACTGTAGTCGCACAGTATTCATCAAGTGTTATTAATCTAAAAGTTCGACTAATAATTACTATCTTTAGACTTGATTCAAATTGTATCATCAGTTAGCTTCATCTACATTTCAGTTCTTCCTCACAACTTACGCGGCCTTGACCAGATCTTAACAAAGTTGTATTTGTGTCTAGTGGCGTAAGCTTTGTTCTGGTTGCAATAAATTTATTTCTACGCAAATGAAAATATAATTCAAGTGATGTTTCGTGTAAATAAAAAGTCATGAATGAATCATGTGGACTGAGTCAAACCACATTGGTAGCTCTGAAAGCTTCGCTGATATCATAAAGTACATTAATAAAAGAAATGTTACATCAGGTTAACATGAAACATTAAAAATTATAGGTATTGTCAACATGAATATGATTTTACAACAAAATAGTTGAATATCAAGCTAACTTTTGCAATTCTGAGGTCGTCTCCGAATCCAACGATGTTGAGTGTGGGCGTTAGATTTGAACTTACACGTTTCATAGACGCAGAATTAATATATCTATGACCTATTGATATTCGGTTGTTTTAGGTCTGGGCGATTGTATTTGTTACGCAAGAGATATTCAAAGTGCGTGGGCTGGATAATAACTACAAATGATTTAAGAAATCAAACCTGCGTTATTAAAACAACACTACTTATAGCTTCTATCTTAGAATGGTAGAAGGTCTCTGGCAGGAAAGAAGGTCAGTATTATTTGTTCTTGAAGAACACTTGAGAAAGTTAATAAGGCCTTTAATGATATTTTAGTTGTGGTGTCCTTGCAAACTTGTGCAGATACCCAAAGCTTGAACTGTGCTCGACGCTCTGGACAAGCTGAAGAACTTGGAACACCATCTTAGATAGGTACTCGTGTACAATAAACAGAATAGCAAAGTGACCTTGAGGACAGGTGTTTAGTACAGTGGGCGGGAAGACACTCACCTTGGCCATGTGTTCTCGCCGAGGACTTTCCCATGTCGGCCGCACCATCGACACACATATACACTCACACTTGCGCGCGACACTTAAACACTGCGTACTTATACTTATAGGTCGGTATAAAAGAGGCGTACAAAAAGTTAGACGTTATATTATCGAAGGACACTTGAGGGTTAAGCTAGGTCTCCTACGGAGAAGCAGGTGGTAGGGTGGCGTCGAAGGCGGAGGGCCGCGCGGCGCGATCGGCATTCTGTGCACCGCCAGAGCACTTCGTCTTCCTGGAACAAATAAAAATTAAATAAATAACTTCAAACAGAAAATAAAATGCAACTTCAAAAGTATTCACCAAATTGTAGTTTCTGTGATAAAATTTTGAACATACTAAAAATAAACTGCATTGCAATTAGTAGTCACTCAAATCTGGATGGTTTCTATCCATCCACTGTATGTATTTAGAGTATGTTGTTTGTCCTCTACTAATAAGTATTTTGATGAAGCGTTGTACTGATAAAATTCAATTGGATCACCGTCATTGTGGTTTGTGGTTTAAACACCTACGTCACTTTGATAAACTATCCACTTAAGCCTCAACATTCTAAGCTCTTAAGATTCACGCGACACCTTATTACTGGGTATTAGTTGAAGTATGAGTCGAACAATTAAATCAGACGAATCTTCAAAACAGACCTTGTTCAGTTTTGTATTAATTGTTATTGAATGAACCTTGATATGAGAATTCGCAATCACTAATGAAGATGATGACGATAAGGCAGAAATGTGAATCGAACGTATCGGCATACGTGTGAAGTGAAGTGTGTTAATAGTTCAACCGATTGTCGACCCATGTTTAGAAATACTGGTTGAATGAATGTTTCATTGAGCGTGTTTAAACAAACTCATCGGTAAAGCTATAAAAGGTTAAGGTTCCAAGGAGAAAATTTAATTACATAATTTCATTTTAATAACGAAATATTTAACAGAGACTGATAAAGACTATTTTTGCAAGAGGCGCTATTTAGTCAATTCAAAATGGTAGTTCACTCAGGAATATTTCCTCTAACAGACTAGTTCTACTGTTTATCGTCTTATTTCAACAGCCTGTTGTCTGCTAGAATAATGTACGTCATACTTGCCGAACTTCATAATCTTTAAAACGGTGTTAACAATCTGGTTTTAGCACCGTTGTGTGAAAAGAATTTAAGTATTAACACAATAAGTACGCTTGCACGTAAATACCTTAAATCGCGCCTACAAGCAATAAGTCTACGTATCCAAAGAAGATGAATAGCTTCAAATTACTATAATGATAGTATTACCTACTCTATCAGTTGTTTCATATTGCTATACTATTACAACTTGTGGTAAACAATTGGAATAGATAATATCAATAGATTTAATGAAAACAAGTCACGACAAAGCCACTAATTTGGTCTCTTGTTATTGTTCTGCA